AGATGGGACACGTTTTTGCTCTTAAAATACCTTGACAAGATTTTGGTGTGAATTATTTCTGTCATAATTCCAAGAATTCAAGTAAAAACATATAAATTCATGTTGTCTGCACTGAAATGAATCATGGGATATGTAGTTCCTGATGTTTATAAGGCGTTGCTACTATAAAACCATGCATTCAAGCAAAGGAACTTGTGATTTGATATATTGTGACAGCCCACAATATTATTGCGAGACTTTTGATGATATGATATCACAATATTTTGGTTATGTTACATCTCTAGTGATTGATCTACAAGGGTGCTGAGGGTGCTCAAAAACATTCTTAATAACAAAGAACAAATAGAATTGTAAACACTGAAAACATACAAAATAATAATGTAAAAATTATAATATAAAAAGTGTGAAAACTAAACAAAACAAAAACAAGATATAGATTTGTATACAATATGTGCAAGTAAAATAATAATATACTATATAAACAGAAGGTGGCATAATGGAGTGAGGTAGTAACAGTGCAGAGATGAAGATAGTAGATGAATTTTTAAAACTGATAAATAATAAAGCAATATACAGTCAGATTATTATACAGTTACACAATACAAACTTGGTTAATAGGTGCATATTAGTAAATGTGTACTTTGTCTGTACCATTAGAGCTGAGACCCCACTTCAGCCTGGCCTCAGAGAGTGACCACGCCGACCAGGACGATGTGGACGATGACCCCGAACCGAGCCGCTCCCAGCCGCACCAGACCCGGACCGGTCCTGTCGCCCCTAACGACGACACCATCGCCCCTAACGACGATACCGTGGTCACTTCCGGGGTCAGCACCCTCAGCTCCACCGTGTCACACGAGTCCCACGCTGCCCAGCGCTCTGTTAGCATGGAGCTGGGGAGGATGAAGCTCGAGACCAACAGGTAAGCAAAATCTCCCTCATGTAATAATAAGATGCTTTTTGATTAGTGGCTTTATTTCCAGGGTAGCCATGATGGGGTAATTCACAGCATAGTGTACATAATGAATAACTTGTTTTCTAGTTAAAGATGCATTGTGTAACTTTTCCGGTGTAGGATCCGTCACCTGCTTGTTTCTGTGGCTATGTCATTGCTCTGCTTGGAATGTTCCACAGTATGACATTAAACAACTCCACCTTTACCACATTTATTCAATTACAGATGGTTTTATAGCTCAAAAATACGTAGAAAAACAGGCAGTCTGACTGTGAGCAGGGCTGCCTCTCCACAGATCTGACTTAGTCTACTTTGGTCTCTGTGAAGATAGAAAGGTTTAATTGCATGCTGTGAAATGTTCCAGACGAAGCAGTTACGTACATTTCCACGGAGAAAAGTATATGACGGACACTCCACCAGAAAAGTTACACAATGCACCTTGAACAAAATAATAAATGTAAATGTTTGTTACTTTTTGACATTGCTCTTGAAGTGACCTCCATTTGGAAATTTGTGGCCAGGATTCATCCACAGCTTATTTCATCCAGTTTCTTGGGTAGGATTTGTAGACACAGATTGGTCAAAGTCAATAGCTGAACATTTTTCGCACAGGTTGCTGGAGCAGTTACTAGAGAAGGAGCGAGAGTACCAGGCCATTCTTCAACAAGTGCTGGAGGAGAGGAAGCAGGAGATACGTCTGCTGAGGCTGAGATCTGAGGACACAGGTGAACAACTTCATTACAACAAAGCACTATTAAACTATTTTAAGCACTATATTATAGACATTGTATTTCAAAGGTCCTACATTACACAAAATTGACTCTTGTGAGCTTTAAGCCATGTTATAATGTATCAGTTTTATTTCATTCACACATGTTTGAGTAACACTTTATTATTGGTCTGTTTATATCATCAATGCTCAAAATACGCTGTTCCACTTTGTAATGTCATGAACCTGTAATTTTCAAGTTAACAGCTACTAGGGCTGGGTATCATTAAGAAGTTGCCATATCTTGATACAGTGCAGTTTTGGTTTGATACGATATATTTCAAGTCAGTTTGATATGGTTCAATAAAACATAATGGCCAAATGAAGGCTGATAGTAAAAGTTTTTGTTAAACCACTTCTTGTGCAAAGTTAATATGAAACACACACATTTTAATCATCAAAACAGTGAAAATATCAAATGTGTTGCATAAACAAGTTTCCTTCCTCTGAACAAGCAACAAAACTGTAGCACTGTAACAAAATAATTTGGTAAAATACACCAAAAAATACTCTTGGCGAAATACCAATGCAGCAGTCCCCAATATAGATACTGTATCATCACAAAGAATACAATATATCGATATTTCGATATTTTTTCACACCCCTAACAGCTACCCTTTACCTTTGTTCAATAGACAATTCCAGAGCTGAAATTATACACATGATTCTAGTGAAGATGTATTGTGTTTGAAAACGCACTGGAGCACTTCCTGTATTACCACATGACATCATTAGGGATTTTTTGATGACAAAGCGACATTATAACAGATCAGAAAATAGTGTAATATTTAGCAGGGTTAAGTTGACCTCTTTTATATTTTGAAATAACTAAGTGGGAAACCTGAGAAATAAGGATTTGGTCATCGCAGGACTAAGTCATATTCTGCAACTTAGTTACATATGTGGCTTGTGGTTTTTGCTTATACATCAGGATGTGGTTTAAAAAATGAAGGTTCTTTTTCTATTTCAGAAGTGCCCACATCCTCATCGGCTCAGGGGGGACCAAAGAGCCACACCACAGAGCCACACGAAGACACAGAGCTGACCAAATGGTTGCGGCTCTCCGGGGCTGACCAGGACTCCATAGACAAAGTATGACTTGCTTCTGTTTTGAAGTTTGATAGTACACAATGGAAATGTTTAACTATAACTGGTTTGTGCTGTTTTGGTTGTAGATTGTGAATGAGCAGTACACACTGAATGACATCCTCTATGATGTGACGAGAGAGGATCTGAAGAGTTTAAGCCTGAGGTAAATAAGTGGATACATTGGTGTGGTGTAATAGTTTCACTTCAACATTCGGCTGACTGTGATTGGATATGCATGGCTCTGTCTACCAACCACAATAGCTGACCCATCTATCACTGCCACACAGGCTCAAATGCAGAAGTCAATTTTATGAGTCTGCTTCTTAAAGCAGAACAGTTTAAGATGATTGACTGTATTCTTTGTTATTTTACTATTTCTATTTTATTCACTAGTTTTTAAATTATTCAGTTATTAACTTTTCATAAATTGTTGAGCAGTTATAGGAAAACATATTTTCTAAACAACAACAGCATGAACAATTAAAACAAAACAGGAGAAAAATTTTGTTCAGATGTTCATTAGAAATCCTTAAATGTGTTATTTTAGGGACATACCAACTCCTTTTCAGAAATTCAAATTTAGGATCTTGTTCTGTTCCTAATGTTAGTAAATAGCACCCTCTAGTGCTTGGAAACCAGATGAGCTGTCCCAATCTTTTTCAAATTTTACAATAATATCCAAGGTACTATATAACTATATTATTTATAAAAAATATGTCTTGAACTCAATTAAAATAAATTAAAAGTGTTTTAAAGGAACTCAGGATAATCAGCAGGCCCTTGGGTACAGATAATGGGGATCTTAATAAAACAAATAAACAAACAATTCACAAATCTCTTATTTGTCAGAGGCGGAATTCTGTGCAGACTGTGGAAGGCCATCACGGAGCACAGACAGAAGACCATCTGAAGCCTTACAGTGCGGGGACACTCGGCGCAGCTCACTCTCTCCCTTACCTCAATATTTATGTGAGACAACCATAAAAAAGACATTCAGAGGACTGGCTTGTCTATGTGGCCTCCCAACTCAGAACCAAGGTTTTTGGAGAATTTTAATGTTTAAAAAAGGTCATTTTAAGAAGTGCCGATGTATTTTTGTTATGGCAGATTCTTGTTACAGAAATATATTTAGTGAGAGCACAAACTCCTGTCTTTACAAAATGTTTACAAAAACTATGGGACTGACGGAATTTGACAAGCCTGAGATATGATTCTATACATTCAAGATATATACTGATCATGCAAAACATTATGACTATAATGTACCTTCAATCAAGTTCTAACCCAAGAAATCTAACCCTCCATGTGCATCAGTTGCATCAGAATGACTACTGTCCCTAGATACTGACCACTGCAAACTAGGAACACCCTTGGCAAACTGACCCTTTTTTTCTGCTAAAGGATAAAATTATCACTTGCTGCCTTATATATTTTACCCAACCTATCTAACAAGTGTCATATTGAAGTGATAATTGGTCAGTATAGTTATAAAGTTATGGCTGATCGGTGTATATGAAAATAATGTCATTATGTTGTATCATGTCTCATTTTCTTATCACTACATTATTTAATTTTATTTAATCGAAAGGATCTTAATACATGGTCTTTTCTTTGATTATTTAATTTCTTCACACATGCACACAGCAAATTAAACATTTGCATTATTGTGTAAATATTTTGTGTTATATATAATATGTGAACAACATTTCTCTTTATTGATAATGTATTGATTATATGATCTCTTAAAACATGTGAACATCCATTTGTATGGAATGGATATTTGTAAGTGTCTAAATCATGTCAAGTAATTGGGGTGATTAATGTTAAGCCATTTTACTATTGCATCCACACATACTATGTATTTTGTTGTATCTTGCTCATGCAGTCATTTGAATATTTTAACATCACAGCATGTAATGCAAAAAAATAATTATGGAGGAGCCTTTACATTTTTACCACTTTATGTTGTTTGGAGAAGAAACATTCGTGCATTTGTTTTGTATCTAACTGGGGTCAAGACTTTTGTGTCACAATGTCAAATAAAAATGCCCGTCACAAAACAGAAGTGTTCCATTCCTTCTTCAGGTGAAAATCTGCAGAGGCTAAAACAAATGAACACAAAAAGACAGTGTGAAACATATCTTTAGCTTTAATATTCCTCCATATACAGAAAATGTGTGGGCATAATCTACACCAAAGATTGGATGCCCCACTGTGACGTCAGCAGCCCGTCTCGAGACTGTCCGCCCTCATCACCATGACAACCTCAGATTTTCAGCATCGTCAGCGGACGAAGAGTCTCCCCTCTGCTCAGATCAACACCGGTCTATTCTGAGAAAATACTGTCCGTTTTCTTTTACGCCTTTACTTTTAGACTAGGAAGTGTGTACCTGCGGACCCTCATGTTTTGGGCTCGCGCTGGTGGCGGAGGGAGACGCTGTTTCACTGCGTAAACAAAATGGCCCTGTTTCAGCATCACGGGCTGCTGCCGCTGGCCTGCGCTCTCCTGTTGGCCGGAATTAACCACGTCGACACGCGCTCTTCGCAAATTTCCCCCGCAGATGTGCTTTTGGATGAATTTCGTAAACAGCTACAACAGGAGCAGGCGTATAACCGAGCCGGGGACGTGACTGACTCCTGTGTGGAGGACTACGACACTGCTGAGGCGCACATCATCCGGACCAAACTCTCCATCGAGCAGGGCGCCACCTTCCTGCTCGCCCCGGACACCGTGTACACCTGGAGGGACTGTCTGCACGCCTGCTGCTCCCTGCCGCACTGCACCGTGGCCGTGGTGCAGGAGGACCCGAGGCAGACCGGAGAGAACCTGGGCTGTTTTCTTTTCAACTGCACCTACAGGGGCAGAAACGTGTGCTCCTTTGCTCAGAAGGAGGGCTTTTCCTCTTTTACCCGGGCTAACACCAACGCCACTCGGGGACAGCTGTCAGCTCTGATCGGGGCCACTTCCAGGAGACCCGGGGAGGATGAGGAGGACGCACTAGGCAAGTGGTCTAAAACAACTAAGAATGTGAATGGGCCTTCATCAGGGCTATCAGGAGTCATGGAGTCATGCTCAGGCCTTTAAGGTTCTTAAGATCTTAAAATAAATAAGAAAAAGATGGAGCAAAAATACACCTTCAAATTAAAAGTGAGCCTATTTGACTTCTTAACCCTCTCAGGCTCAAATTAATTTTTAATATCAGGAAAAATCTGATATTTGGGGAAAATTATCATATGGGGTAGTAATGTACAATCCTGACTTTTTTGTTTGAGAGAGACCTTCACATCCATGCGTTCTGAGATGTTGCAGATTTGCAGCATTGGCCTGGTGTGGTAAAATAACACTGAAGACTGAAAATGATATGAACGCAAATTTTATTTGTATACCACTTTTCATAACAATGAAAACAAAAAGCACAGTGTAACAGTGCTTTACAGTGGCAGAACAACATCACTTTTTCGTGTGATACTCCAAGAAACAATTTTTATCCTTTATAAACAACAAAAGTATTTTGCACTTCTGGCAGCTTGTTTGCGTGTAGCCATTCTTGCACAGTCTGCATCGCCAACGTTTATCAGCATGGATGGGAGAACAGGCTCCTGAGTAAAAAAGGCTCATGAAGTATGGATGTGGAGTAAGTAGGTAATTGGCATTTAGCTGTTGCAAATCTGCAACGCCTGCCTGGAGAGGGTTAACCTTCTTAATATAAGATGGTCTTTTCCAAAGATATGAGGAAATACTTGGAATAGACCATATACCCTTCCACAATCTATTCCTATAGCCTGTTTTATCAAGAGGGAGTAGCCTAATCGTGTGCCTTTTGACAAACATTTAAAGTCAACACACAAAAGCAGCTTTTATTTTCTCAGGGCTGGACAAGAGGGCACCTAAGTCACTGACTGGGTCAAGGTGTTAAGAGCATTGTTCAGAAAAAAAAGGTTACATTTACAATACTTTTAGAAATATAGCTATTGAGACTCCCTTAGATCTCTTGTGCTTGTAACCTTAGGCATCCAACTTGTTAATCATTACCTCTTAATGTCTTCTACAAATTTAACTGCTCTAGAATATTGCATTTTGCTGCTAAATTTGACACTAAAAGTACTTACACTATAATAATGTAGATTATTTAGGAACTATAATCCCATACCATTCATTTGATCCATTAAATTAATAGAGTTGTTTTTGCCTGCAGAAGATGAGCCCCCACGCAGTGACGCTGGGCAGGACGTGATCATCCAGTTACCCACAGACTGGGCTGTCCTGGACGGGAGGGACAGTGTGGATGACCATGGGATCAGCCGCTATGAGTGGACACTGGTCAGAGGAGATACTGCCATCAACATGAAGGTCAGCAGTGTGTTCACTAACAGATTGGAACAAAATAGGGATTAAATGATTGCTGGCTGAATGTATTTATGTTTAAACTTAATGACAAAGAAATGTATGTAAAATATTATCTGGTCCAGAGTGGCACCTGATATCTGGAGGGCTGCCAGACAAAACCTCACCCTGCCACAAATATTCTTCAAACATCACTGCAGAGTTAAGGATCAGGTTACTTATGTGTTTATGCAGTCAGCAGCAGTCATGTGTTTAGCACTCACTACCCATAATGCCTTGCGATGTTCAATGAGATAAGGCTAATTACATGTGCACCTGCCTCTTGCCCATTCACTAAGATTATCTAATCTAGTGGAAGTGCTCAGCTGTTAGGGTTAGGCGAACATTTTATTACCTTGCAGAATGTTATTACTTGGACTTACTGGCAAAGAATATAGAAGGTTTTCAATTTTTACTGTCTGGAAAGGGGAGATAAGATTGTATTTACTGGTTTCACAACACAAGTGGAGAAATATACTGGTGATGTCTTCTTTTATTGCCAGATTTAAGATGGCATCACATCATTCTATGGGCTAATATTATTCAGTGCAGATGGGGGTAGCTAAAATTAATATTAAATTTGTAATTTGTTGTAATAGTTAAATGTAAAAGTTAATGAGGGTAGTCACTAATAGAAATCATCAGGTTAAGCATTTACACATTTACATACTAACATTCTGGATATTTCAGGACAAAGTACAATGTTATCAAGAGGGAAAACTGGCTCATGTTTGATTGTTTTCTAGATTCTAGCTAGTATAATTTTATTGATTGAATGTAGAATTTGTCATTTACTATATCTTATACGTATAACCCTGTATAACTATATCTTATATGTATAACCCCTTTTAAACCCTACCAAACCCCAAATACTTTGTCTTTATATCATCTGTCTTCTAATTGAACTTATCCTTGAACAAATAATAAAAACTTTGGGTTAAAACTATATCAGGGTATCCCTGGGTTTGACTACCCCAAATTTAAGACTTTTTAAAGACCTTTTTAAGACCACTTAAATGAAAATTAAGATCAATGTCGCACCCATTATACAGGCGAAAAACACCAGATCCAATTCTACTAATGACCGACCAACTACCAGTACTATATCTAGAATCTAAGGCTACGTTTATATGATGATGGTCTTAACAGAAGACACAAAAGTGGCCTAGCGTCTTGACTTTATATTCCGCGTTTAGACTAGCGTTTTCGGAAGGAAATCTGCGTGCATACGGTAATGCAAAAGTATGTGGAATTGGATTGGGTATGAATGCCAGGCGGCTCAGTGGTGACGCTAGGTGGTGATGTATGTGATGTAATCATGTACACGACGTGAGACAGATCTGACCAGAGTTTTGCGTCTTGTGCAGTGTAGACGAAACTGATTGTTTACTCATTGCCACCGACTCCAAAAACCAAAGTATTGTTTGCGCATACTCCAAATTAGACTTTCATTCATGTTACGTTATTTCACGCTGTTGTTTTTTTACCTTCCCTCCATTTAACATTGCACTGCAGCCCGGTTGAGTAAACAAAAAAATAGGCTAATGAACTTTAAGACCTTTGTGGAAAAAAATAAGACTTGGAGAACATAATTTAAGACTTTTTAAGACCTTAATTTAGGGAACATGAAATTTAAGACCTTTAAAGACTTTTAAGACCTCGCAGCTACCCTGTATATACTCAATGCAATGAAAAAACAATGTCATTTCTTGTTCTTAGGTGACTCACCCAGGCCTGCTGAAAGTCAGTGGTCTCCGGGAGGGAATATACACATTTCAGATGACCGTGACTGACACATCGGGGCAAAAGAGCTCTGATAATGTGTCAGTGTCTGTGCTGGCTCCCAAACATCAGGCTGAAGGTATGTTTCAAAATCTTAAATAATTTGTCATTAAATCATGGGGCTAATAGACTATATGTATGTCTATAGTGTGTACGGGCCACTGCTCAAACTACCAGTTCAAATGTGACGATGGCTGCTGTATCGACATCACTTACGCCTGTGATGGGAAACAGCACTGCCCTGATCGATCTGACGAAGACTTCTGCCCCAACTGTAAGAAAGATATTGATCATTTGTAATCCTAGTCTTTACTATGAGAGAGTAGAGGTTGACTGTTTCAAATTAATGCCATTTCACCAGCTTTTTGTTGTATAATATATTAGGAAAATGATTACTATTAGAAAATATTAGAGATTAATCCCAACATTTTGAGTATTTTCCATTTGGGTATTGCACCTGTCCACGGATTTCAGAGTGATTAAAAATTGGGACCGTTATCATAGCAATTAACAATTCAAAACTAAATTTCATATATTTGTGAATGCGGCAAAAGTCCTCAAAATGACACCTACAACTGGAAACTGACTCATGAACAGCGTTATATAGTAGGCCCCTGCCCTCCTCCCTCTGTAATAATGACATAAAATTTTAGATGCTATATACTCCATTACTTCGTGTGAATTGCAGTTAATGGTGACTTGTATGTTGGTGGAACTGAATTTAATAATACTTTGACATTTTCAGTTGAAAGCAGCAGAAAATCTGTGACTCACTCGATGAACATCCCCAGCCCCCGTCGTTTGGTAACCCACACAGACACAGAGGAGCAGGCAGGACTCAGGAAAACCATGGAGAGCATCGCCCCACCACAGGAGAACGGTCAGAAGGATGCAGCTGCCAATAAAGGTAAAGGCTAAGTGCTGAGCTTTAAGTTTCATTTGTTTATTCTTTTTTATATATGTAGACCTTTACTGAATGATGAAAATGTGTTTGCCTATTGTAGTGGACCAAACAGAAAGGCAAAGACAAGTTAAAATAGAAAATAAAAGAAATTAAGTTTAAATTTAATGAAGTCAAAAAAGAGATAATTTGACAAAGGCTGGAACAGTTTAAATTAACTAAAGCTGAACGGGCATCCAAAAACATAGGTGAACTCAAATCAAACAGAAATAAGAACAGAACTTAATTAACTAAAAACCCAACACATTGACACAAAGGAAGTCAGAAGGGTGTTTAAATATTCACATTCACAGGAGAGAAATTAACCTTCCCTGACTAGCTTTAGAATGATCTTGAGCTGTATCAGAACAAGTACAAGACCACGTAGACTAGTATACGCCCATTGACCATTATGGTACTTATCTTTATGACTAGGGGATTACACAGACACAAGGTCATATGGTAATGTTGGTAATCATATTCTGTTGTCTAAAGAAAGTTGTTGTTTTTTTATTATCATCATGGTTTCGAAATTAGTATTAAGTATTGAGTCTATTCCTTGATATCAAGTTTGAAATCCCACTACATTGTATTTGAAATGGACTTTACTCCTATAAATATATCAAGCGAGGGTCTAGCTGGAGTACTAGATTTGATTTGCCCTCCTTCAAAAGATTTCCAGGAGTTGTAATACTATTATTAGTAGTGTAAAATTGAAATCACTATGTTTTATTCACAATTTAGTTCCTGTTAATTTTCAATCCAATGATTAAAGAGTATTTATTTAAGAAGTAAATACAAATTATAACTTTTTATTCAATGATGAACAACAAGACATGAAACTGCTTTGAGAAGTACTGTTGGACCTCCTCCCTTACACAGTGCGATACCTGCACATACAAAACAGTCCCTATGCTTGGTTCTTCCCCTGGGGACCACATACCAAAGGCCAGAGCAATACAGTTGGACCCCCCCATGCAACAGGTGTGTCCAGTCCAGAATAGAGCCATATGCCAATCTGCGATAGAAAATGGAAACACAGGTTTAATAAAAGCATAGCAAAAAAAGACTTGCTTTTGACTTTTATTGAAAACAGATGGGGCCCTGTAGGTGAGCTCAAAGCTGGACACAAACTCCGACCCCACTGTAGTATCCTCTTAGAGTTTCATGGGAAAGTGAAGTGCTTGGGACAAAAGGCTTCTGTGGTCACTGCCATCTGATCCTGAATCTGAACAGAGAAAAAAATTTCATTTAGCAGTGTCAGTGAACGCATCAGACCTCAACTGCAGGGAATTCTCAGGCAGCTGTCTATCAGTAAAAAAAAAAAAGGCTGTTAAATAATTTTTTTTTTCTGATAAAAGTGACAAAACAGGATTCAACATTAGTACAGGAGAAGGGCTTGTAGTTGTAACATTAGGCTTAGTCTCAAAGTATTTAACAGAGGCCTTGGCAGCTGCATAAAAATTACTTGAATATTTTTTAGCATTACTCATATTGACATCAATTTTGAGAACTTGTATCCGTTTAGAATACACACAAATTATTGTATTCACCCTGTGTGTGTGTCTGTGTGTCTGTCCACCTGCGATAATTCCGCCATTTATGGACTGATTGTCACCAAATTTGGTACGTGGGTCAAGCCCCTGTGCCCGATGCGGCAAAAAAGTTTGGTGATGATCCAAGGTCATTTGAGGTCACACAGGTCAATTGAAAGGTCACACTATTATAAAGGATAGGCAATTTCAGCAATTTCTGAACCATCTGCGGGCTAAAATATTCACCCAATCATCACACAAGTTGGCACACACATAACCGGGGTACACTGGATGTTACACTTTGAAACCGGTCAAGGTAACCAAGGTCAAATATGCGTTTTTGGTCATAACTCCGCGAAGGTCTCAAAATCTCAGAAAAATTATTATCTATTTATAATTCTATGCATGTGTATAGTAAAATAATAATAGTTTTCGAGATAATCACTAATTATAACAGTTCCTTTCTCTTTCAGTGTATGCTGTTAAAATTCAAATTGGAACGAAAATAATTTCCATTTCTTCTTTTTCTGGTGATACACAACACACTGATCTAAAGTCACAGAACTAACACATACGGAACTCATGAAAAATTAAATTTTTCGTGACACGCTAGTAAACACAAACATTCTCATGTGTGACCAGTATCACACAAATGTTCATGGGCACTGTACAGCTAGACTCATTGCATTGATCATGTAATATGGGCTGGGCTCCTTATAAGCTGGCCTCCGTGGTGATGAACTGCCCCCACTGATGCCTCATGGGGGACCAGGTTGCTACTGTAAACTGGCAATGAAGATGTATAATAAACATTATGAATAAGTGTTTGTACTTTGACAGGTTTTTTTAAATTTATCTCATTTTCAGACCCCTGCTCCTCAGCTCCAGTGGTGGGACCATGCAAAGGCACGTTCCCGCGGTGGTACTACGATCAGGAGGCTGGCCAGTGTAAGCACTTCCTGTACGGAGGCTGTCAGGGCAACCACAACAACTTCCTGCAGGAGTCTGACTGTGTCACCGAGTGCATCCAGAAATGTAAGACTGTGATAAGACTGAAGATGCATGTACTGAACATTATCATCAATGTATTACGATATATATTATATTGTTTCAGCTCCATCATTTAAACCAGCAACTGTGGCACCACCAGTGACTAAACAGACAGAAAGAGGTAAATGTCTAAATAATTAATTAACTGCAATGTGTTAGCTTTTGATTTAAATAAGCTTTTGATTTGAACTAAAATAGAATAAATGTAGCAGCTATTTATGGTAATTTGTTTTTGCATCACAATGTTGGGAGTAAAATGCACTCAAAGCATTATAATATTCATGAACCACTCTGCCATAATGGGTGATGGCAAACTACTGTACAGTGTTTACATGTACACAAAAATATGTTATCTAATTTCTGGACCTTTAACATTGTTTAAATTGCATGTAAAAAACACAAAATCTGATGTGAGGGTCTATGATCAGAAAGAAATCAGATTACTTTGCTGTTTACATGTTTTAATATTCTTATAACTCCAAATATATGATCATTATTTATTGTGTGTGTGTGAAAGCTGCTCCCAAAGTGTCCCAGAGTCAAACAGAAACTGAGAATGCCATTTCTAAACCAACTTTCATCAAAGGAGTTCACCCTGCTCCTGAATCAGGCATGTACTTTTTCCTCACAATCCAGTATGAGAATTGTTATTGTATGTTTACTTACAATCCTGTATATCTTCTGGCATGTAGGCGCTATCCTCCCTCTGGTCCTTGGTATCCTAATCACCAGTCTGCTCCTGCTCATGATCGGCTGCCGTCTCAAACTTGTCCAGCACAAATTGAAAAAGGCACGGCCCCTGACCACAGAGGAGTCCGATTACCTCATCAACGGCATGTATCTGTAGCTCTCAAATCTACCACTACTACTCCTACTACTACTTCAAATACTGATTATCACAGGCTGGCACTTCAAAATATGCGCTCTTTCTTTTGGCTCCCCTGGACTTTGATTCATATTTTTAGCTATTTTTATGAAAAATTGCTCATTACGCTGGTGTGAATGCTGCCGAAATGCTGCCTTTGAATACAATGATATACAGTATTCATGTCAATGTGTTTTGAGCTGTTGATATTTTTCTATAAGAGACTCATTAAATTACAAAAGAGAAATCTATCTGGCTAAATGTTGTGACAAGTTGATACACCAATCAGGCATAACATTGCATGCTTAATGTGGGGAGTTACTTGCAAACTTCACTATGGGGTTGTTAAAAGTATCGAAATCAGATAGTAAATGAAACTACAATTTATACACTGATTGAAGCAGGTATCGATACTGCAAAAAATAACATAAACAGGACAAAAATTTACCTTTATTCAACAATTTTAGTTTGACCTTTATAAGAACAAATACAAAAAAGCATGAATGCAAAAAAAGTACTATAATTATACAATAACTGTTTTGGAAATGGCATCCTACTACTAAAAAGAGGTTTCTTGTCTTTGTGGTATCGTAATCAGTATCGAGTACTGAGTTAATACCTTAGTATCGAAATCAAATTTTAGTATCATGACAACACTACTTCACAATGCGTCAAACTCATTCAAATCCATGGACCTGCTGCATTTCCTCCTACTTCTAAAATTTGCAACTAAAATGTTTCAGTAGTCATGACGTTGTGCCTAATTGATGTATATTTTAATTTATATGAAGATCAGAAATGTCCTTGTCCACTGTGCTACCTACCTCTACCTTTTGTCTCAAGATATTTATGCGAATTCAATATTTCTTGTGTCTCTTGCTGGTGAAAAACATTTTTTTTTTTCTTCCTGATGAGTGTATTTCTACCAGTAGGGGGCACAACACAATGTCGCTCCCCGCCTCTCAGACAATATTTAACTATGACTGTATGTTGACTGTAAACTGAAGTGCCTGCTCTGGTGCACTTTACATCAATCTTTATTTTTAAAGGAGATCCTATGGTCATGTTGTTTTAATTTGATTTCTGGTGTAAATGCAGTTGTAGCTTTTCCTCAAAGTTCTACGTGTTATGTCAGATAATAAAAAGTATATTATGAATCGTTTTGCCTCTGCAGCTACAGTACTTGGTTCGCATCCTCCTGGTCAAATATTACTCCAAATAAAGTAACTAAGTAAAACCGACTCAGTGAAAATAGCACTTAAGGTCCTATATTGTCCAAATCTGACAGTGAGCTTTTAGCCATGTTAGAATATGCAATTTGTGTTTTGTTTTATTTACACGTTTCATTAATCCTGCAATACTGGGCTGTTGACATTTCCAAACCTCAAAATGCTCTTTTCCACTTTGTGATATCATGAAGGGGTAGTTTTTAAGTTAACAGCTGCTGTTTCTCTTTTGTTTAGTAGAAATAGGCAATTCTAGGGCTGAAAATATCAAAATGATTCTAGTGAAGGTGTATGGAGTTTAAAAACATATGGAGCAGCACTTCCTGTGTTTTGTGTTTTCACTTTGAGAGAAGAACTTAGCCTAAATATGCAGGGTTTGCATGTTAAACGTGTGAAAGAAACAAAACACAACTCCGGGTATGTTTTTGAAAAGGAAACAAGATTATAACAGATCAGAAATAGCGTAATATGGGCCCTTTAAAGGAGCATTATGTAAGAAAACATTAACAATTCAAAATATATTCCACTTTTGAACACCAGAGGGCATATTATGTGCACTTTTCAACATCTCACCATAGTCCACTGTTTCCTTTGAAACTCAAATAAATGTGGATTTGGCACTACATCCTATTTGCCCAGTTTTAGTTGGGTTTGAGAATCACCAATCAAAGCACCAAACTTTTTTTTTTTTTTTTTTAGAAGTTAAAAGGACTAGCTGATCAGGCATGCAGTAGGATGGTTGCATTATTGACTAAAGAACAACTAGAGATCTAAACGATAAGCATTTACCAGTTTTTAAATTAAAACTAAAAAATTTTAGAGAAAGAAAATTTAAATTAAAAAGCCAAGCTCTAAATCTGGACACAGCTAACTAGAATAACTAGAGTAGAATAAATCCTAGTGCAAACTGAAAATGGCTTCTGGATGGATAAATAAAAAATGAGTAGATTAAGGTGTATATGATTGGACACGGAACAGTCTGGAACTTTGTGAATATTTTAATAGGTTAATCGCCCAACAGAGTAGCCGTTTCACAAATTTTAACAGTCAGAGACAACAGTATTTTTCAAAAATGTTACATGCATGTTTTCATCCATGACACAATAATAACAATAATAATAAAAAGAAATAGGCATATCAAATTCCGTTTCAGCCTTTACCTTTTGCTTTAATCTCAGGACATCTGACTGGTTTGACACTGTGGTTAACTCTGATTTAGGCTAGACTGGGACCTGCACTGGAGTCCATAGTTATGAAATCACAACATGCCAAATTTTTAGAATGATTGGCAACATTCTTAGTGTAAGTGTCAGTAATGACCTTTTCTAAAGCTCAGAACATATTAAAAATGTGAAAGAGCTGCTAGTGCAATACCAAATATAAAAGTCTAGAAATCTAAATATTTAGTTTGTCAAGTCAACAGTAGAAAACCAGTCAACAGCTAAACCAAATGGACACTGCACACATACACACACACACACGCACACACACAAAATATAAGAAACACATTTTGTCAGTTATGTTGCCCATAGTTCTGTCACCTAACCTCTATAGAACAGCTTGGGTGTAATCAAAAGATGTTGCTGGTGTGAAAATGCTGAGAACTGTTGCATATTTTGAGTATATAAAATCTTATTGCTTTTACTCCTTAACTTGAATGTCAGAAGCAACAACTCCACCAAATGAGAAGCCCAAATAAAATGTTACGTTCTCATAGCCAAGAGGCATGGAGGCAGAATATCTAGGAGATACCCTGATCTCTTTATCGCCACACTTGACAAATAACCTTCCATTTTCAGTCCATCCATCAAAGCGCTTCAACAACTTCGTTACTGTGGGTGTTTTCCAAACTTCCCCTCCCAACCATTTTTCTTTTCTCTCAGAACTTCCAGTTTGTTTTTCAATCACACTTTTGTGAACTATCTTATTAAGGCCCTTAGCCTTTCCAAAGTAGAAATGGTCCACAGTTCTGCGTTTCCTTTGTATTTTTTCTTCTGTGTATTTTTGGAGATGATCAATAGCTGTTAACAGGATCTTACTATCGAAGGGATTGAGTTCGCTGTCTGTTTCAGGCCAGAAGAGAAGGGTGGCAAGGTAGAGACCATTTATTGATAAATGAAACTTTCCTTTCTTAAAAGACCACTTGTAAAGATCTTGAAGATGCTTGTGAGTCTGAAGCTTTGAGGATCCTGGCTTGATACAGTTAAGAGCAATTTGGCAATAGATAAAATGTCCAACTTCCTCTGGATCAAGGTCTTGCAACGGATGGTACATGTCAAGTATTCTCTCCAGTTTGTCTCCAGATGCCTTTGTATCTTTGTTATAGATTAAGGACATGATTGATGTCACATTTCCACCTCCAAGTTTGTAAGTCATCATCTGTCTTTGAAATTGAGAGTTTTGAGGGGGAGAGGGTACAGCAGTAGCACTGTCAGTATGGACATTGTTGTCATCCAGCTGTTTGCAAAAAAACTCAGCATAAACTTTACTTTTCCTAGTGAGCCACTCTCGTGGTCTGTATAACTGTTCAAGATCACTTGCATCAAGCTCCACATCTTCCTCACTAAAGTCAGTTTGAAAGTAACACAGATCTTCTGAAATGCGTTCAAGTGCATTCAACAAACCCTTCTGTAATCCTTTTAACAGTGAATGAAACTTCTGCCAGGGTTTTTTGACTGTTTCTGGGATGTACTCTGTTAGTAGATAGTTCAATCAGCAGTGATTTACCTGTTGTGATTGCAAAAATATCAACTTTTGTTAGGAATTTTAACAATCTGCAGCCCACATCCACTTCCCCAAAATATGAGCTGTTAAGACTCACAGTTGTCTTTTTTGGGGGTCTTTTCAGAGTCTCTGAAAGCAGAAATTGCTTTAAGTGCAGTGCTTATGATTTCAACTCCTCTCTCGGGAGAGAGGAGTTCCTCTTCAACACTGTCAAACAAGTGATAAAACCATCGCTTGTAAACTTGTCCCAATGTGTCAAGAACAAAACGTATCAGATGGAAGAAAAGACTTTGCTTTCTCAGCCCATTCGAGGGCCTCCTCAAACTTCTGGTTTGTGTAAAGCAAACGGGCAAGCTGTTGTGCCACAATGCCATCTTTTCCCAAAGAGTTATAAGCATTTGTCAGCAGCTCAATGGCTTTCTGTAGCCCCTCTGTTATTGTGATGTGCTCAGTGAGAGGTGAAAAAGCAGTATCTTCAGAATCTCCTCTGCTCTTTTTATTTCGTCTGATGACTAAGGCTTTAATGAACTTTAGGAACTCATCCCTACCAAACCTGTGATTGATCAGTACATTGTTTTGGATGAGGGCTTTTGCTATAGCACTTTGTGGTAGGTCCTTGGACAGCTGCTTCAAAAGTTCTTCAGCCACCAGTTTATGGATAATACGTATGGACGAAAAGTGTGTTGTATTGTCTCTGAGATCTACAAAAAGTAATTTAGCTTCCTCACTGAGTGCATCTACAAATGCATGGTACTGCATGTTAGGTATGTAAGATACAATCCCCATATAGGCCTCACAATGTGACATAGACAGGTAGGAACTTTCCACATAGCTGTTCAATAGAGCAACAAATCTGATAAGGTGAGTGACTGATGAAGAACGATCAATTAGAGAAAGTGTATTTCTAACAAAATGAACAATGTAATCTTTGTCAAACCCTTTACTCATCAGCACAAATGTAAGGATGTAATCTGGGTGTGGCAATTCCAACTGATCCTCCAGTTCTTTATGTTTCTTGGAGAACATTGGCTTTTCATTTTGTGACAGTTTATGAGTGATGGCCACATTTTGAGATGGTAACATTCTACAAGCTCTCTCTGGATCATTGGTTCTGTTGCAAATGAGCAGAATGAAGCACAGGGCTGAAGAAGTTATGTTTTTTGATGTAATGTTATTTCTGAGTTCCCGTCTGAGATTATCTATGTCCTCTGTTTTTTGGTCTTCTAAGAGCAAGAGCACAGGGAAACAGTTGTTTTGGTCTCTTTCTTCGTATTCTCTTAGTTTCACTGCATGTTCAGACACAGTGGTGATTTCCTTACATTGCTTCACAACCGCACACCGTACTTTATTCTTCCAGCTCCAGAGGAGTTGTCTTGCCACTGTACTTCCTCCACTGCCAGGTTGATGGTATATGTTCACATTCTCAATTGGGCGTGAGGGCTTGGGAGATATTATCTTCTCCAGCATGCTGTTTGCTTCATGAAAAGCATCTCTTTTAATGATATTTCCACACTTGTGTTTGTCAGAAAGCCAAAAGTTTATCCAGTCAATTTTACCACCATGATAGAAACGATTCTCTGTTGCGTTAATTTCATTTTGGTCCATGATGTCCAGATCAGTGTTTCTCACACTGGTCAACACTGATAATTTCTAAAGAATGAAGCATTGCTTCATCAGTCGACTTTAGATAGCAAACCCCACCATTAGAGACAGGTAATGTCCTGGTGGTTTGGTTTTTTGAAAGTTGGATGCTTTGAACAGTGGCATTCATGTGGCTGAGAGGCATTCCAGTGACAGCGATCTCGTTGAGTGTAGAAATCTCACAACAAATCTGAGCCAGACTTGACCATTTTTTGTAGTTTTCCTTTGACTCAGATAATACCACTAGAGATTCATGTCCATTCATTTCCTCATAAAATTCAGAAAAAGTCTCAACAAGTGGCTGTTGAACATCAGACATCAACATGAAGAGCACTATAAAAGATCTCCGTGGTAAAAGTTCATTACAGATAAATGACACAGCTTTTTTCAATTTCTTTTTTTTCGTCTTAATCCATGTTTTCTCATCACATGGTTTCTCTTTTTTATGAAAGTCATTTCTACCATTGCAGAAAATCCAGCTGACTTTTTCAAAAAGGCCCAATTTGTTAGAAAAATCTAACAAATTAGATTGTTCCTCATTTAAATAATCATGAAGAAAGTGGGGAGTCACAGCTTTCTGTTTTCTAAATGCTGCACATAAACCTGTTTCTAAAGAATCAGGGTCAAAATCAAAAACACAAACGGTGTTCATGTTAACCAGAAAGGCTATGTGTTCTAGGTGTTGGGGGTGAAACTTGTTGGTTACAATTATGTAGTACAAAGAATTGTCCATGTGCTTCCTTCCAGATGTTAAAAGGATTGAAAGCTTTCTTCTCTGATCCTCTTTATATTCAAAAGTTGTGGGGTGTTTCGTGCACTCAGCTTCCTCTCTCTGCTGGTCTTTTTTTGTAAGGCTTTGAATGAAAGAAACAAAGTTGTCTGTGGAAATTTGAGGTGTGTTTGCCCCAACTCTACAATAGGGAACTTTGATTTCAAGCTTAATTTTTTTATCTTTTTCATGAAATTTTGGGACACCAACTGAGTAAAATTTATCTTTTACAATGCTGACTTCTGGAACAACATCATATTCAACCACATATGTTTTCCCTGTAGTTTCCTTTTCTATAACTTCGATGAACCTTGGGTTTCTTATGCATTTTCTAGCATCACATTGTTCACTTGAATCCTTGAAACATTTTTCAATATAATCTAATGCATCCACAAAGTCCTCACGGTTTCTGACTTCTATTCCAACAATTTCGCCGTGCTTGTAAGAACCTTTCACTTTATCCATAACACCAAAATGAATGGTTCCATTGGATCTCATGTTCATGCAAGCACAGGCAAATCTCAAAACCTCACTTGCAACTTTTACTTGGAGCCTTTTTGAGTCCAGTTTTTGAGCTATTTCAAGTGATTTGTATTCATGGCATGGCACCAACAGATTTTCAGTTCCTGTCTCAGGTGCAAGTAGACTGTGTTTGATATATCTGAAGTCTTTTCCATCATTATCAAATTCACAGTATTCACTCCAAGTCAATGTGTCTATATATTCACTGCTTTGTAAGGGAACATTTTGCTGCTGTGCCTGGGACTCACAATCAAGGCTTTGTTCTGTAGTGTGGTCTTTCTGTATCTCTTTGTCATTTGCATTAAGCCCTGTTTCTTTTTGCTGTGGAGCTTTTAGTAGCTGGTCTCTTTTACTAAGCAGATGCTGAATTTGGCCACTTTTCATTCCGATATTCTTTCTGAGAAAGTTATCACATAGACTGGCAAGGACTGGTCCAGTAACCTCCTCATCCTTAAGTTTATTTATATAGAGCTCTTTAATTCCAATATGCTTTAGCCAGGAGCCAACATCATCTTCTGTCCATTTGTCAAGGTCCATGTTGTTCTGCATTCCTATAATGACATATCAGATACATACATTAGCGTCAAGTGAAAAGTATACACAGTAACTTATGGTGCTGTTTTATAGCAGAATGGAAGATGACAGTTCAACTGTAGCAGACTATTATCTTTACCAGAGAGTAGGAAATATATGTTTGTAGTATATGGGAAAAAAGTGAAGGTACAATATTTTATTTCATTTTGCAGCAGAGGGTACAAGGACTTGACCACTGCTCATACTCTGAAGTGCTATGCAGTTTAATTTATGACTGACTAACACTGGCAACCTGCATTCAAGACTGATGAGAAAACTTTTTTTTATTATATTGATCCTTTGCAGTGACATCACACTGGGACTGTTCTGCATATATATCTGTAAGGTGGAATGTTCAGCAGCACCAAGGAGACACAATCCACACATTAACAAACACTGTAAAAAAGGGATAGTCTGAAAACTCAAGAAAAATACAAAATGGTTTTAAATGGACATTTTCGGAAGCCTGTTGTTACATGCAGGCATTTGTTTTGTTTTTGTACTGCTCTCTCCTCTGCCCTGTGTGTTCAGGTGCTGTGGGTGTGACCGGAACTGGAGCTGATTGGCCAGCTGGCTGCCAATCAGAGTGGAGAGGAAGGCCCCTTTTCAGGTTGTAATGGAAATGTAGATTTAATCAGTTTTCACACAGTACAAACTCAGAAGCTGACTCCTGTTTCAAACCATTCATTTCAGAGGGTTATGTCTCAGTCACAGAAAATAATGACAAATATCCAGTGACTGTACTACGAGATACAGGGGGTTCTCAGTCCATAATCAGAGCGGGAATTCTCCCCCTATCAGATGAAACTTCATGTCATACTAGTGCTATCGTCCAGGGAGTGGGGATGAGTTTTATTCCTGCCCCGCTACACAACATTTATGTCAATTTTGCACTAGTAAAAGGACATTTCAAAGTTGCTGTCCTCCCTGCCTTGCCAATTAAAGGTGTTGATTTCATCTTGGGTAATGATCTGGCAGGAGGTAAAGTGTCCCCCGTACCAGAGGTACGACCAAAGCACAGAATCTGACCATATTGATGTGTTCCCTGAATGTGCTGTCACAAGGTCTCAAGCCCGAAATGATGTTGTGGACTTGTCTGACAGTTTTCTGGTTGAGAACGGTTACCAAACTGAGCATGACAATACAACTGAGGAAAAATGTCCAGCACCCATGGGTGCAGTTAAACTACCAGCCACAAGAGCGGAGTTCATCACGGCACAGAAAAGTGACAAGACACTATTAAAATGTTTCTCTGTTGTTGAACAGGAAGGAGCCACAAAGAGCAGAGTGGCATATATACTGGATGATGGCCTGCTCATGCGTCATTGGAACAGTGAGGCCACCGGAACTGAAGGTGAACATGTCACTTATCAAGTTGTAGTGCCCACAGTTTATCGTGCCCAAGTGTTGTCTTTAGCCCATGACCACCCATGCTCCGGACATATGGGTGTCACTAAAACCTACAACCGGGTACTAAAGCATTTCTTCTGGCCTGGACTAAAGTCGGATGTTGTTAAACACTGTCGAACATGTCATGTTTGCCAAATGGCCGGAAAGCCTAACCAGGTGATTCCTCCTGCACCACTGTGTCCAATACCAGTGATGGGTGAGCCATTTGAAAAAGTCATCATTGATTGTGTGGGGCCGTTGCCAAGAACTAAAACCGGAAATCAGTTTTTGCTCACCATTATGTGTACCTCCACCAGGTACCCTGAAGCAGTACCCCTGAGGAAAATCACCTCTCCTGTCATCACCAAGGCTCTGGTAAAATTCTTCTCTACATTTGGGTTGCCAAAGGTTGTCCAAACGGATCAAGGTACCAATTTTAAATCCAAAGTTTTCGCCCATGCTCTGCACGCTTTGGGAATCAAACATGTCACCTCCAGTCCATACCATCCTGAAAGTCAAGGTGCACTTGAAAGATTCCATCAGACTATGAAATCGATGCTGAGAAAGCACTGCCTTGAGTCACAAAAGGATTGGGATGATGGGGTACCACTGGTGCTCTTTGCTGCTAGAGAAGCTGTACAGGAATCATTAGGCTTCAGTCCAGCACAGCTAGTCTTCGGACATGAAGTCAGAGGCCCATTGAAAATTCTCAAAGAACAGCTCATTACTCCTACAAAAACGGTCAAAAACATTTCTGAATATGTCTCTACACTCAGAGAGCGTTTAAAAAGAGCCTGCTCTTTGGCTAAAGAAGCTCTGGCCTCCTCTCAGACCAAAATGAAGAGGAATTTTGATAAAAAATCAGTTGTCCATACATTCCAGCCTGGTGACAAAGTTCTGCTTCTTTTACCTATACCTGGCTCTTCACTCTCTACTAAATTTTCTGGTCCCTATGTTGTAGACAAGAAACTGAGCGACACCAACTATGTCATTCACACACCGGACCGGAGGCGGCGCTCCAGAGTTTGCCACGTGAATATGCTGAAACTCTACCAGGCTCGGAGTGACCAACCTGAACCGGCCAGTCCCTGTGTTGACAAGATTCCTTCCACTGTTGCTGCATTCACAAAGGTGAGCTCCTCAGATCCTGAAGATGGCCTACTAATGCAGAGTGCCACACCCCAAGGAGCTAAGCTCAGCAACAGCCAAATACTGACAAATCTGTCTAGCTATCTGTCAAAACTTCCCAATGATAAAGGTGATGACATCACACAACTTATATTGGACTTTCCCAGACTATTCAGTGACATTCCCTCTCAAACATCAGTTATATCACATGATATTGTCCTGACTAACCCTTCGCCAATTAAGCAGCATGCTTATCGGGTCAGTCCAGCTAAGAGGGAAATTATGAAAAAGGAAGCCGAGTACTTAATACAAAATGGACTTGCTGTGCCCAGCTCAAGTCCCTGGAGTTCTCCTTGTCTCCTTGATACAAAAGCTGATGGGAGCCCCAGGTTTTGTACAGATTTCAGAAAGGTCAATGCTGTAACTGTACCAGATGCTCATCCTCTGCCACTTATTGATGACTGTATTGATGAAATAGGTCCTGCGACCTACGTGAGTAAACTCGACATGTTAAAGGGATATTGGCAAGTTCCGTTAACCCCCGCGCCTCTGATATTTCAGCTTTTGTGACCCCAGATTACTTCCTCCAGTACACCGTCATGCCATTTGGACTCTGCAATGCCCCGGCCACTTTTCAGAGGTTGGTAAATAAAGTGTTGGGAGGCGTACCAAACTGCAGAGCATATTTGGATGATATTGTTGTGTATACCAATGATTGGGCTGGTCATATAGCAACCCTGAGGGAAGTTTTTAAAAGACTGTCTGCTGCATCACTAACCCTTAATCTTGCCAAATGTGAATTTGGACAAGGCACTGTACAATATCTTGGTCAGCAGGTTGGCGGTGGAAAAGTGTGCCCAGTGGAAGGTAAAATCGCAGCCATCATTACCTTCCCTACGCCTACAGCAAGAAGGGAGTTGCGCCGCTTCCTAGGCATGGCTGGATACTATCGCCGGTTCTGTAAGAACTTCTCCTCAGTAGCAGCGCCTTTGACTGCTCTCACAAGCCCCGCTAAGCCCTTCATTTGGTCCGATGAGTGTCAAAAATCTTTTGAAAGCTTAAAAGCTATTCTGTGTTGCACCCCTGTTTTGTCTGCTCCAGACTTCCAGCGCCCATTCAAACTGGAGGTGGATGCTAGCATGGTGGGAGCTGGAGCTGTCCTTCTCCAAGAAGATGATCAAGGCATTGACCATCCTGTAAGTTATTTCTCCCGCAAATTTGACAAACATCAGTTAAAGTACTCTACTGTTGAGAAGGAAACCCTAGCCTTATTGTTTGCAGTGCAACACTTCGAAGTCTATCTTAGTTCTGGTCCCCAGCCCATCACAGTATTCACTGATCATAATCCCCTTACATTTCTTTCAAGAATGTACAACAAGAATCAGCGCCTCATGAGATGGTCACTGATCCTGCAAAATTACAATCTGGAAATTAAACATAAAAGAGGATCTGAAAACATAGTTGCCGATGCTTTATCAAGGATTCCATAGTAACAAGCATTCAAACTATGTTTGAATTTATAAGGGTGGGGGTGTTACATGCAGGCATTTGTTTTGTTTTTGTACTGCTCTCTCCTCTGCCCTGTGTGTTCAGGTGCTGTGGGTGTGACCGGAACTGGAGCTGATTGGCCAGCTGGCTGCCAATCAGAGTGGAGAGGGCCATTTAAAAGGAGCTGTGTGCTGCCTCTTTCTCTCTCTCTCTCTCCCTCTGTGTATATGGCTGCTAGCCCAGGTTTGTTTGGTGGGAGGACTGGTTAGGTAAGTTTGGGGATCCCTGTACATTTCATCACGTAGATTTTTGTTGTTAGACACACTAGTTATCAGTTGTTGCCACCCTTGTTGTTTTGAGTTTTCCAAATTCTGTTTTTTAGACCAGGTAGGCTAGGCTTTTGATTTCTTTCCTTTTTGTAGCCTAGTTTTCAGTTAGGGCCTGTTTTGGTAAACCTTTTTGTTTGTTGATTTGGCACAACTGGCCCACGCCTCCTCCCACCAACCGTTTGTTCATTTTTTTTGTGCACTTTAATGAAGGTTTGGCTGTCAAATAAAATATCTGCCAAACTGACTTTGCCTCAAGGGTTGTTTTATACACGTTGTGTTCCTTGTTGGACATAGGGGACATAACACCTGTGATCAATACGAACTTTCATGGTGCTGTTTAGGAGTTTGATTTTCAACTAAAAAGGTGACAGTTACAAATTGAAAAGCTGTAGGCTAAGTTTATGACTGTAATTTTATGGGTGTAGTTCCAGCAAGTCAGTTTTTATCTTAAATTGTAAAACTCAGATTAAAGTCTAACAGAGATTTAAACAGAGCAGTGTCTACAGCTTCACCCCCACAGGATATGTTGATGACATCCGAATGATGAGTTTCCTGAGCAAGGTCAACAGAGTTTTGGCCCCTGCCCTCAATTCTAAACTATAATAATCATCCTATTCTAGATTGTGAACACAATCTGTTGTCGATGGCAAAGGATAAATTCAATTTGTCAACTGCAAAAGTCGACTTAAATAAACTTTTGTCCAGTTGGCATATTGAACAACCTATTGTTGGCAAAGGCTGATGGAGCTCAACAGCAACTGCTTGCTTAGGTTCCAGAAGTAAATTTTCCATTCATTTTCCCCACAGACTTACAGAAAAACTCAAATAAGAATTCATAAACATAGCAGCGGTTAAGCAGCAACATGGTAAGTATAATAGCCATAATGCGGGTGTTCAAAAAAGCTGTTTAAAATGTAAGATTCTGCAAAATATTTTAATAACTTCATGGTTTATAAAGTAAACAGCCAGGTCTTGGGCATTAGTTAGTTACCACATAGCTGATTAGCTCTGACCAAGCTTTCAAACTTTTATTTCTTTATTTATTTCAGAACGTCTATGAGAATAATTAATGGGAAATTTAGTTCTGGAACTGGGGGTGGGCAGTCACTGTTGAGGTCTATTAACTTGTAGAATGCTATGGAGTGCTGGTTGCTATCATCCATGCAGAGTGCAATTATCCCTTTCAAAATACACATGGTGGGATTTCTCTAGTTATATAACTATAATACATATTTTAACCCATATCTTAACTTTAAAGTTGTTGATCTAAGTTGTTAATAAAAATGTACAACAAGGGGACCTAATGTTTGTTCCCCTAAGCGAGGCAGAACCCCATGAACTGAATACACATTTGATAAGTCACATGTAGATCACAAGTAGTTTAAGAGTGAAGAGATACGGGCCCATTTTACAAGGTCCCTCATTCACCACACAAACACACACTGAGTAAGATTTACTTACCTATTGTAGAACTCTCCTCCATTTAATTATGACTGTGCCTGCCAAAGAAAAAAAAATGACGAAGAAAAATGAGCAAGTTCTTATTCAATGTGTTCTCCACTCACAGCTGGCACTTACCTGAAAGGATCATTTGAAAACAAAAATTCCGAGTTTAAAAACTGAGGCAAGCAGAGGAAACCTGGGGATGAAAAGACAAGTTGTTATTCACTATACAACCACTAACAAAATACATTAAAAAAGAAATACATTAAAATCACAATAAGAACAAATCAAAACATAAATAATCACCATAAAAATAAAAAAGAGACAGACATTAAATTAGAGAGAAGAGTTCAGAATGAAAAATAAAAAACTTTCAATCATGTGCACAGCTAAACAGAACTGTTTTGAGCCTGGATTTAAACAGAGTAAAGTAGAGTCCTGTCTCACATTTTCAGGACGATTGTTCCAGGTTTTAGCTGCATGAATTTGAAACGTTGACTCCCTGTGTTTAGTTCTGACTCTGGGCACCAGCAGGAGGCTGGTCCCTGAAGTCCCCAGAGTGCGAGGTGGTTCATATGGCACTAACATGTCAGAGATGTACTTTGGTGCTTGGACATGGAGAGACAAAGCTGATTTAAAGTTAGGAAAGATAGGAAGCCAGTGCAGAGACCTGAGCACAGGACTTATGCGCTCGTACACAGCTCATTTTGGAGAGCAGGCCAATAGAGTAGTCTAACCTAATGGAGACAAATGCGTGGATAAGTCTCTCCAAGTCTGCTTTAGACATTATACCTTTGAGTTTTGCTATGTTTTTCAGATGGTAAAAGGCTGCAGATGTTATTGATTGACTGTTAAAGTTCAAGAGTCCATTATTACCCCTAAATTTCTTGCCTGATTTGAAAGTTTTAGAGACTGGAGGTGACTGCTCACACGGTCTCTTTGTTTCTGTGGGCCAAAGACTATGACTTCAGTCTTGTCTGAGTTTAGCTGGAGAAAGTTGTTTTGTAACCACATACTGATCTGTTGGATGCAGTGGCAGAGTTTGTTCACTGGTCTATAGTCCCCTGCTGCCAGTGAGACATAGATCTGAGTGTCGTCTGTATAGATATGGTAGGACACATTACTGCTGCAGATTAACTGACCTAACGGCAGGATGTAGAGATTGAACAAAAGAGGGCCCAGGATTGACCCCTGGGGCACCCCGCAGGTCAGGGCTATGTGATCTGAGACACAGTTTCCATTTTCAACAAAATACTTCCTGTCTTCTCCATAGGACTTGTACCAGTTTAGTGCAGTACCAGAGATGCCCACCCAGTCCCTTAGTCTTTGTAAGAGGATCCCATGATCGACAGTGTCAAAAGCAGCACTCAGATTTAACAGAATCAAGACTGAGACACCTGCTGATCTAACAGGATCAAGATTGAGACTTTCCCTGCATCAGTATTCAGGCGGATGTCATTTGTCACCTTGATAAGAGCAGTCTCAGTGCTGTGGTGAGCTCTAAAACGTGATCAACATCAGGAACATCAAAGGAGCTGTTCATTTGGAGAAAGTTAGTAAGTTGTTAGTAAACAGCTTTTTCAAGGACTTTGCCAAAAAACGGAAGTGTCGCGATGTAGGGTAAAGTAAACGTAACTCCTGGTTAATGCTATTCTATGGCAAAATATCTGTGGAAATGTCTAACATATTTTCCACCAGCTTCATAAATCTGCCCCATCACCAAATCCTCATCCAACAAAGTCGACAAAGGACATATTCTGTCCATGAAGGATTTATCCACAATTATCAACGTAAGAAAGAAAAAAAAAATGTAAATGTGGACAACTTTTAGCATTAGTGAACTACTCCTGAGCAAAAATAACGTTATGGTCAAGAATATAACATAAGTAACTTGTTAACGCAGACTAATTCTACAATTACAATTAAAACTCAACTTCGTTATGTAGATATTGGCATAGACAGGGAGTTTTGTGCAGTTTAAATGCTAGACATGTAATCTGTGAACATCTGTAGCTTTCGAACTGTTCAGATTTATTAGGTTTCAGAGTCCGTTAGATTCAGACCCAGATCATGCAATGGACTGTATTCACACTTATGTCACAAAACCAGAAGATGTTTGGAAACCTGAGGATGATGACTTCCTTTCAGAATTAAGGGTTAATTCAGAAAACCAAAAAGGTGTGCATGACACCTGAGGACTAGGACTACTATAATAACTTGGATTGCTATATCATCTGCCTTAGAAGCAATTGAAAAAAATCTCAGATTTTCATGAGGAAAAAAAAATCCTGAAAATCCCACAAAGGGTTCATTCTGAAAACCAAAAGGTGTGTGTGATTCCTGATGACAAAGGACTATTAAAATAATTTAGTCTGGAGTTTTTAGGTTACTTGACCTGAAAGATATTGATTTTTAAAAAGAATTTTATTTTATTTATTTTTTTCATAAAAATTAATTAATTAATTAATTATCATAATACATTAAATATTAAATGTTTAATAAAACATATGTGCACAATCCCTTTTTTCTTTTTATTTATTAATTTTTTTTCACAATTACGTTTAAATATTTCAGGTAATTAATTTGTAAAGCAAACTCCATTCGCTAAAAGGGTAGTTTCTAACCGTACTTAGCGGGGCTTCGGAATAAAGCTCCCTGCACCGCGCAAGAGCAAACGGGGCACAGACAGTGGAGTGGAAACTTCCAACGTCGAAAGTGAAACCAAATTCCGCGGAACGCCACTGATAGATCACTAATCATGTAGGCCAATTTAGCGGCACTCTCGGTTTGCAGACTGACTTTAGCGGCCAGTTTCTTCGTGATCACAAACTTTTTTTGGAAACTTATAAAACCTCAAACGGAATTTGGACTAGAGATTGGACTCACTCCTGTGTATGTGCTGAGCAAAGAGAGTGAGGAAATGGCGAGACTGGAACGGTCTGATAACTGATAACTGCGTTAATACACGACAGAATTATTAAGCTTGAGTAACGTCACCGTATATATATATATATATATATATATATATATATATATATATATATATATATATATATATATATATATATATATATATATATAAGACTAAAGGCTTTATAACCCTGCTATTGTGGACTTGCGGAAGCAAAATGATACCTATGATACTATAGACTATAGACTGCATAATCGAGCAACAAGTAGTTTTACTTTTTACACTAAACATGGTTAAAATCCTCACGCTCTCCTCGGGGTCACATAGACCTTTATAGAAAAATGTTTTCCCCTTCCCGCTCTCTTGGGTGGGTCAATCTAAATTTATTTTCATTTAGTTTCTCTCCAGGCGAGAAAATACATTTTTGGGTCTGATTGACCCACCCCAAGAGAGCGGGAAGGGGAAAAAAAAAGTTTTTTTCGGGTCTATTTGACCCCGAGGAGAGCGTGAGGGTTAAGTCCGTCACAAAGTTTTTGCCTATTCTGATCTCTATAGGTTATAAACTAGCTACTCCTAATACACACCTCTTTCCTCTCTTTAAAAGGAAAATGCAGATTTAATAGATTTAATCGCTTAATTTCACAGAAGAAAAACTGTACAAACCTCTGATAAGGCAGGCTGCTCATGGTGTTGTTCTTCCTGAATTGCGCCACAGCAGTGCTGCTGTCGCAGTTTATAGACTTTTGGGTGTGGCAAAAGAGAATGTAAAAATGTCTTTCTTTGCAGGCTCGACACTCCCCAATTGTCAAATGCTGGTAGATTTACATGCTGGCTATAAACACATTTAAGTACATATGGCAGGTTTATTTGTTTATTTATGAAAAGGGATAACAATGACTGATACTGGATATTTAGACACATATGACAGATTATAGGACAGCCTTGGGCTTTATTTTTCATCTGCAGTTCCTCTGGCAAAGTTGGCATTACAAAAAATAAAACAGAAACATAATTTTTCGTGCCGGGCAAGGCAAACAGTAGGCAAAAAGGCAAATAGTGGATGAACTAGGGCTAATTATTTAGGACGTTTTTACAAAGTTGTTTTGCTGAGTACGCATGTGGAAACCTGCATTTTGGGTGGAATTTATGTAGAGGGATTCTGTTTTAGAAATAAGCGCGCGACTAAACTAAAAGTTGGAAAATTAAGGGATTATAATTTTCGATTTTAAATTATGGTGAATATTTACCACAAGTAGTATCCCACCAAAGCGACTCAAGGCATAATTTGAAAATTTAAGACACAGGTGGCGATGACGGCCCTCATCCCCTTGCGCATGGACTTGAGTGTCCCACAATCACATCTGTCCCTAAATTGCAAATGATGTATGTCAGATAATAAAAAGTATATTATAAATAATTCACTCAGCTACAGAACTTGGTTTGCATCCTCCTGATCAAACATTACTCCAGTACAAGTAAAACTGACTCTGAAAATAGCACTTAAAATTATTAATTTTAGCCATGTTAGAATATATTAGTTTTGTTTTGTTTCATTCACACATGTTTGAGTAATTCTGCATTACTGGGCTGTTGACATTTTCAAAGCTCAAAATGTTCTGTTCCACTTTGTGATGTCATGAAGCGGTAGTTTTTTTAAGTTAACAGCTTCTGTTTCTCTTTTGTTTTGTAGAAATAGGCCCTGGTTGGTGCTACAACTCTTAACCAAATAATTTTACAATTAAAACCAGCCATTTGTTTTTTAGATCCTATTCCTACATCTCTTTTTAAATCAGTTTTAAATTTTTTTGCCCAAGATGTTCTTAACATTGTAAATTTTTCGCTGCAGACAGTGGTTTTTCCTACGCCACTTAAAACTGTCATGGTCAAAGCTCTGCTTAAAAAGGATAACTTGGATCCCTCCCTGCTAAGTAATTGTGTCATATCTGCCGTTTTTAAGCAAAATTTTTAGAGAAAATAGTTTTTAACAGAGACTGCATTAGTAAAGATTCTTAATGATATAAGATCCAACCTGGACAAAAAGAACCTGTCAGTCCTGGTGCTGTTGGATCTCATGACAGCATTTAACACTGTAGACTACTGCATTTTACTAGATAGATTGTATACAATCGGTCTCTCTGGGTCTGTTTTTAACTGGTTCAAATTGTTTTTAACAAACAGGGATTTTTATGTTAGTCTTGGGGGGCACTCCTCCGCAAAATGTAAAATGGAGTGTGGTGTTCCCCAGGGCTCATTTTCAGGTCCACCCCTTTTTAATCTTTACATGCTGCCACTACGACGGGTCATCAGGATAGACGGTGTTAACTTTCATAGCTACTCTGATGATACCCAACTCTATATTGCCGTGTCTCTTGATGATCTAAGCCCGATCGATACCCTTTTTAACTGCATTTTAGATATTAAGTCCTGGATGGCAGCAAACTTCCTCCAGCTCAGCCAGGGCAAAACCGAGGTTTTAATTATTGGTTCTGAAGCTCAGAGAGAGAGGCTCAAAGCTAAGCTCCAAACCAACTCACTGAACCCATGTGTATCAAATGTATGAAAAGTGCTATACAAATAAAGTTTGATTGATTGAATTCTAGGGCTGAAAATGTCAAAATGATAAGGATATTGTTTAAAAGCACAGTGGAGCACTTCCTGTGTTTTGTGTCTTATGTTTGAGAGAAGAACTCAGGATTTGTGTGTTAAACGTGTGAATGAAATAAAAACAACTTTGGGTATGTTTTTGATGAGAAAACAACATTATAACATAGATCAGAAATAGTGTAATTTAGACGCTTCAATGGTGCACTGTAAGTACTAAATTAAGAAATCATTGACAATTCTAAATGTATTCCACCAGAGGGCATATTATGTGCACTTTTCAACATCACATCAGAGATCACTGTTTACTTTGAAGGATGTGTCCATGTCCCCTTATTTATGATAATACAAATATAATAAGAGATCCAACCATACCACGTGTAGCTCTTCTGAAGGCATGCTCCCTTCCTGTGAAGTCAAGAGCTTGGACTGCTCGGTGTGGAGAGTTACCAGCAGTGGCAGATGGTCAATAGAGGGCGCAAGTGAGCCGCACTGCCTAACTTGACCTAGATAAACATAATAAACTCATTATTTTATTTTGTATTAGGTTATATATTTAGTTTAAAATTGAACGTGTATCTGCATAAGACATATTTTGATTATGTTAAATGTGGTTATATTTTTGATTCATGTGTTACCTGTTTAACTGGGCCAGAGCAAACTCATATTTTTTCACAACGGCCGCACGTACCGCGATGTAGGGTAAAATAAACGTAACTCCTAGTTAATGCTTTTCTTTCTTTCTTTCTTTTTTTTTTTTCCTTTTCAAAATAACGTTATGGTCATCAATAAAACATAAGTAACTTATTAACTCAGACTGATTGTACAATTAAAATTTAAAAAATCTATTTCATGATATTAGCATTACAGCTAATGCAGCCCTGAAGTACATATAGGGGGCGTAGGTCGGGGCGAACTCAAAGTGATTGGTCTTTATAAACTTTTATCACACACCTGACCTATTGTGATTCAGCGTGCTCTCTCCCGCCCAAGCCCAACTCTCCGCTCAAGGCAGGTTACTACTACAGTACAGTATAGGCTAATGAATGGCTATGTGCTATACGATTTATGAGGAGTTCAACTTAAAGTCAAAGTGCGTCCAAGGAACCGTTTTTGTGTCTTCTTTTCAGTGAGAACCTTCTGCCAAGCAAGAAAAGAAGCATTAAGCTGGAATGACTGCATCTGACTGAGGTGTATACAGTTACTTGACGTAACTATAGTTCTATGAGTGTGTGTGAGCCAACCTACGGACTTCACTATTGATTACCTCTCTGGCGACAAGGCAGCCTCTGAGAACGATGCAAAGCAGTCAAGGCGCCAGTCATCGCTACAGCCTGACACATCCCTGTGAATCCAGTGCCCTATAAACACCGGGCCGCTAGCCACATAACTCCCTTCTTTGCATCAGCTCATAGAGGGAGACGGTCCTGCTGGGCCTGTAGGTAGGCTCGCACACACTCATAGAACTATAGTTACGTCAAGTGACTAATTTCTACATCGTGTGCTCCTCCCACTTATGGGCTTCACTATTTGTTGCCCACCCAGGGGAAGATTGTAGGGATAAATGTACCCCCAGCTGGACAGTCTCTCAAGATTGGCACAGTAAGATGAAGTCCTGTGGACCTGATACTCCAAGCACAGCCCAGCTCCCACAGCTCATGGCGCCAAAGCTGGCAGACCAGATCAAGGCGCTGTAACTGTGCCCAGAGTTTTAAAAATATACAAATTGATTTATTATTGTAATATACCAATATATTTTACATTATTCAGTCACTGTTAATATTGATTACTGTATTTTTATAAGATTTAGGACTGAAGTGGTAGTCAGGTGCAGCAGGTGTGAGCGAGGTAAGTGTGTGAGAGCAGACATACACACTCACATAGACAGAGAGAGAAATTCAAGTTTAGCTGCAGCAACATTTACACTGCTCTTCTCAGTCGCCTTTGTGTCTCAGTCAAAGGTCATTTTTACTCCGCTCTGTTGTTTCAGTTGGTGATGAAAATGGACCATTCCCCTAAAGTATTCCCTCTGGAAGGTCTCAGAGTATTTCCTCTGTAAGGACTTCTGCCACATTTGGCGCCACATTTGGTGTAAAAAGCCTGTGACATCTCAAGGCTAGCTCCTTAGCTAGCCTCTTGCACAGAAAAACGAACACCTCATTTCACAAAATCCAACAGTCTTTGACTTGTGTCTTTGTACTTGTGTCCTTTGACCTGCACATGCTTAACTTTTTATTTGGTTAAAATCCCATGATATGATTTTAGAAACTGAGCTAAAAAGACAAGGAGTTTCAGCCAAGTTTAACCGATAAAGCAGCCAACAAGTGACGTCTAGGGTAAAACCTCAAAAATGCACTAGGCACTTGTCTATCCACGCAATAACACTGTAGTACAACTTGAGTAAAAATGAGTGACAACACAATTGAAAAACTGTTTGTCATTTATTGAGACACAAATTACCATATTTATGTTCAGTTTATAGGTTTCACTAAAAGGTTATAAGGGTGGATATTGAATAATATTTGACCAGTTTAAGAAATAATGCATCTGACATGCAAGAATTTCAAGGGGAAATATCGAATCTGATCATCAAAGCAAGAAAAAAAAAAAAAAAATCTATAAAATGTAGATCAGTTGTAGATTCACTGATTGATTGTATTTAATTGACCTTAGCTATCAGCTGTTTTTTTTTTCTTTTTCTGGAGACATGTATCATGTTTTGGGTTCTGGAATATGTTAAATGTGTAAACCAAATCAGTTTTATCCCAACTATTAGAAGTGAGGTTTAGTAACAGGTATAGTAATTATGCAACATGCACACCAAAAGTCTTGTTTTTTTTGTCACCGCCTCCCTTTAGTCAAGAGAACATCACCACACCCAAACCCTGAGTAATATCTGTTTTAATTTATTTTTTCATTTCATTTTATTTTTCATTATTGTGCAATGTTGTGTTCGTGTACAAATAAAACATTATGTAACGTCCATCATGATTAACAACCAGGAAAAACAGGTTGTATCAGGTAAGGTACAAGACAGCATTAATAGAGCAAGAGAGCATACAATTTGTCTCCCTTTTTTCAGAATGTATGCCCTGGATTTGATGAACGACAAAGCCCGTCTGGAAGACTTGGCAAAATTTGCAAAAGATGTGGCGTTATTACATGGTTTTATCTTTAGGCCAAAGGAGCCCCAAAACTCTGAGGTAAAAAATTAATTTTCATCTATAATTTTTGGTGGATCAAGTTCTGAAAATTGAGTAGGCCTAGTATTGTATTTATTAGGGATGGGGCAAGATCTCATCCACAAGATCTCGCAAGATAAAATTATCCCATGAGATTTTTTCCCCATGTGTTAGCATGGTAAATATATTCTTCAAAATGTAACTAATACTAGCCACCTCTGATGTTTAGCCCATGAGAGTCTGAAAAGAGGAAATAATCTGAGTTTTGTTCCTTTTTGCAGCTAGCAGAACACATTACATTCACCCTGTTCCCCACACCAGTACCTCGAGCTGCGTACCTTCAGGCTAAGGCGGTCCAAGTTCACTTTAACACACTGATGGCCCGGGTTAGCCAGGATGCTGACTTTTTGGAAGAGGCTCTGGCCAGGTTGGTTATATACTTAAAATGTCACATATGTTATTTTACGGTTTTTAGTATTAAATTATCTACGTATGTTCTAGTTTATTGTAAATATTGTCGACCAAATATTTGTCATTGGTCTTAATGTAAATCTCATGGAGATCTGCAAAAACGCATTTTTCGGACCACTTTGCCGTGTTGTTAGTGTGTGGTTAGTCCGTGCGCCCCAGCGCGCCGAGTGCGCACAATGAACTCTCTGACTGTTTTGTTTTCTGGCATGTTAAATGCATCGGAAATTATGAACCAAAGTGACTGGCAAAACACTACGCGTGGTCTGCTCTCTCTTTTCAATATACTTTTCTTGTACTGAGTTTTTGGATGCAGTGGCTCCATTAAGGCTAAAGTGCGCAAAAGCCACGGCACAGCCTTGGCAAAACGAGATTACGAGTGAGGCTAGGCGCGCATGTAGACGCACTGAGAGGTCTACATTACAATAATAAATACATTTGTATATTTTCAAAACTCTGGGTGAGGCTTGCCCATATTTCAGTTTGACCCTGTTTGTCTCTTGCACAGTTACAGCGCCTTGGTCTGCAAATATCATGAGACAGTTTGGTCGAATATCAGAGAGTAGTTAAAGCTGCTAAATGTAATTTTATACCAAACATGGTGTCAACAAACTGCATTGGCTTCCAGTGGTTGTAAAGTGTGGAGCCAGTTTTCACATCGGGCTAGCGATGGCATGTCAGAAACATAATTTAAAAAGAGGTTAAGGAAATGTTTAAAGAAAACAACAAGGTGTTCAGTTTTATGTATTCATAAGGTGGAAGCTTTAAGCCATTTTGTTTTGTCTCTTCCTTACTTTTTTATCTAGTGTTCCCATTTTATTGTTATATGTCAAGGGAGTCAAACTCAAATTCCCAGAGGGCTGAAATTAAAAACTGGGACTAAGTCATTGGCCAAACTAAATATTTATTGAAAAATTTCAACAACATCTGCATGTTTTCTCCTCTTTCGAAATATGTCATTTTAAACCTTTTTTTTATTATTAAAAAAAATGTATTTTTTTAATAATAGTTTTGCTTAAACATTGAATCCAGAATAATATAAAATGTAATATAATATAATACACATATACATAATATAAAATAATAACAATATTTAAAATAAATAATGCCTCTATACTATAGTATATCTGTAGCTGGCGGGCCAGCTCTAATACATATTTGATATAATTTCGAGAGCCAAATATCATTATATCGCAGCCAAATTTGGCCCCCAGACCTGAGTTTGACATGTCTGTTATACCGGTATGTTACATAGTCTAATGTGTAAATGGTCAGAGGTCTTCTCTCAAAATCACTGGTAATTGATGTTGAATGTTGCAGCACCGTAAAAGTGGATGACTTCATTGCGCGGCTCTTCAGGATCCACAAGACAGTCGTGAAAGAAGGGAGATCTCCGGTGAGTGTGACCCAGGCTCCTTTCAGGGACTATTGTCGTTGTCAGTGATGTTCTAACTTGTTTTCTCCTCTTAGTTCATCGCCCTTGGCCTTAACCGCTCAGACTACATGCTGGACCAGAGCCAACCCGGAACCTCCGTCTTAAAGCAGACTGAAATCAATACGATGGCAGCAGGAGTCGGAGGGCTAATTCACGTTTTGGCAAAGGTGCATAGGTGCGTCCTTTAAAACACACTCGATACACAGTCAATGGAGCAGGAATGTGAAAGTGAATGCCCATTTTTCTGTTTATTCTACAGGATTATTCTAATGAAAGCTGGTCGATATGAGGAAGAAAGATGTATTCTAGAAAATAATGCCGTAGCCGGTCAGACCAAGGCTATGGCCAAAGCCTGGGAGCTCTACGGGTCACAAAGGTACAACTTTTATTGTAATATGAAGCAAAACTATCCACCAGTTGAATTGCATTTTATTTATTTACATTTATATTTATTTATTTATAATTCCAGCAATTTAAGTGCTTTGTCAGAATAAGGACATTTTAATCAAGTGCATTAAAAAATTACATGTAATATTACATGGTCTTAATTAAGGGTGTCCTGGTACCTTCATACCCTGCATGTAGATATTAGCTACATTTACTAATATTACACAAAGCATTTTTTTGTACACATAAATTAACATAATTAACGTTAATTAACACATGCCATTCACATTAGCTTGATCTCGTCAGATCTTGAAGCTATGCAGGGCAGGGCCTGGTTAGTACTTGGATGTGAGGCTGCTGGGAATATCAGGTGCCACAGGGGGCGCCAGTAGCAAAGTTGTTGTTGTGTCCTCAGGCAAGACACTTCACCCCATTCTAACCCAGGTTAAAATAGAGGTCTACAGTCAATGGCGACTACGACCGGTCAGTAAAAGCATCACACTCACTCTCACGCTTTCAACAAGTCACCTGCTCCCTTCCCTCCATTCACACCCGGGAGTGAAGCCAGACAGGACGGCTGCGCAGGAGCCCTTACCGCTAGCATCCGAAGGTGAATAGACCGCACAGAACTATAACACAAGGGAATTGGCCAGGCGATTCTAGTTAAAAAACATCCCGATGGCGAGCTGAGCCCAGGAATTCTGCATACAACTCACAATACTCCATACAGCTTCTACCGTCGGGTTGGGGCTGTTGCAGCCGGTCCGCTCCCACATTTCACCTATACAACAGACAATCACACACACCCTTTAAAAGACTATATGGACATGAATTGTGGACATTAAAATCCACATTTGCCCGTGGACAATGATAAGGACACCAGCAAAGTGACCCCACTTTTCACTTTTCAATATACGGCACCAGCCACCAAACATAATTCTGCAGTCTCTTGTGTTTTTTTTTTTACTGTTTTCCTACCTCCCAGAGAGCCGCAGTCTAGTCTTCTGTTCCTAGCCCTACACCTACCCCTTTTGTCCCTAGCATACACCTTTAGATATGCTACACCATTATCTAGTATGAATGTGGTGTGCATGTGTGAGTGTTAGTAGTGGTTGCAGGGGCCAGTGGTACAGATTGGCAACCTCACTTCCTGTATTTTATGTTTTTCTTCTCAAATTTTTTCCCCCAAACTGCCACTTAACTAATATAAAACAATGATAAATATTTACCACAGGGACTATCCAACCAAACCAATTAATAATTAGATAAACATAAAAACCTTTCATATGCATTAAGTTCTTCTTAAGTATTTATACCTTCTCATTTATTTATAGGTGTCTGTCTATAAATGAAATTAATTTATAAACAATAATGTCTATGTAATTATGTCTTGATCTTGTAGTGCTGTGGCTCTGATGCTGATAACAGGAAATGACACAAATATCTTCGAGCAGCGGAGCGTGCAGGTGGAACTGTTAAAATTGTAATGAAAACAAGTTACATATATATTGTCTTTATTTAAGTTTTTAAAATTCATTTTGTGTGATTTTGTACATCTTTGCAGTAATATCACTATGATACTGCGGCGTTTTAAAGACGTGCTCGAGAATGGTTTCCTGACTGAAGATGGCAGACTGTTTGTGTAAGATTATTAATGACATAACTTTTTCTTTAGAGAGAGAGAGATACTTTATTGGTCCCGAAGGAAATTCATTTTTTTGCTGCAGCAACATCTCAGCCTCATTTGTGTCTCCGTCAAAGGTGTTGCAGTCCAAGAGGACTGTTCCGGTAGAGTCAGATCTGTGTCAGGGCAGTTTGAGGAGAGGAAAAGCCAAAAATGTCCTTCTGTGTCCTGTGCCCGGGTATTACAGCAGTGTCCAGGGGGAACATAAAAAGCCTTGCACTTGTTCCGCTCTGTTGTTGTGATTGGTGATGAAATTGTTAATTCCCTCAAAACATTTCCTCTGGAAGGTCTCGGCGCATGTCCTGTAGAAGGTTTTCTGCCACATTTATTGCCACATATGGTGTAAAAAGCCTGTAGCATCTCAAAAGTCCATAGCAAGCTCCTTAGCTAGCCTCTTGCACAGTCTCCATGAATATGGGAAAAACAAACAGCTTTCACACACTAACCATCCCTTACTTGTGTCCCGTAAACTGCACATGCTGCACGACTTAGCTGGGTAAATCCCATAATATGAAGTTAAACTGAGCTAAAAACATTTTAAAAACTGTGTGTGAGCCAGGTAGCCACAAAAGCTTTAACTTTAACAGGCTAGAGAAAGAAACAACATAAGATACATAAATCAGAAAATAGCATAATATGGTCCCTTTAAAAGTTATGTCAGCGATACATGAATATGATATTTTGTTTTTCAGTGATGGGAAGGAGGTTGCAGTGGTATACTATATGCATGGCTTTGTTCCTCAGCAGTACACCAGTGAGGAGGTAATACACTATTTTATCTCTACTCGTTTCTGAGTACCCTATCGCTAAAGAATGTAAATGTAAAGTTTTGTGAGACTTTGTAGATAAAAGTGGTGGCTTCCTAAAAAAAATTTTTTTTTTTTCACTGGGGCAGAAATAACATTAATCAAAGAGGCTAAAAATTACTCATTGATAGTTTTGTATTGATTAGATTTTTCCCGGTGTACTGGGCTTCTCTGACAAGAACTGAGTTTAATGGTTATTTCATTCTAATATACAATCAAGATATATTTCTCTCTCTTTTTGACCCAAAAGCATGTCACAAAAATTAGACTGAACTTAAATGTAAAAATCACATGTTTTGTGCTACTTAAAACATTATTTCAACAGAATAAATGTGTTTTTGTCAAATAATAGTGTTCATTTTGATTCAGTGTACAATATGGTTGCGAAGTAACAATTTTGGAACTTCCAGGTATGATGTCCAGATTTCCACCAGGAAAAAAGGTGGACATTTTTAGCAAAATCTTAAATATAATGATTAGTAAAAGGAGTAATCTAAACTTTCATAGGAACTTTAAGATGTCCCCTTCTAATAAATCACTGATCCTCCTCATACTTGTCTGTAATAATGAGTGCAGTATTAGTTTTTATGCTCTGTTATTATTCCCAGTGTTGAGTCTATAAAAGCCTTATATTTGCTACAGGACTGGGAGGCTCTGCTCATGATAGAACGCTCTTTGGCAGTGAAGTGTCCTGATATCGCCACACATTTAGCTGGGACCAAGAAAGTTCAGCAGGTGTTGTCCCAGCCTGGAGTCCTCGAGCGCTTCTTCCCTGAGGAACCGCATGCGGTGGAGCAGATCCGGGCCACCTTCACTAGACTCTACTCTCTGGACATGGTTAGATCTCAGCACTCACTCTGCTGTTGGAGAGAGTGGAGATATTCTTAATGGTGAAGTCTGTTTTGTGCAGGGTCCAGAAGGAGATCGAGCAGTGGAAATGGCAATAGCTGATCCAGAGCACTTTATCATGAAACCTCAGCGAGAGGGAGGAGGTAAAAATTTAACATTATGAAGTTCAACAAAACCATGTGCTTAAAATGGCATGGTCAAAAAATCTCACACTCCCCAGTCAAAGTGAACTGTATTTTTATAGCAGAATTAAAGGAACTGCAATATTGGGTTCTTTTTCTTGGTTCCAATGCAGAAGATTTCACGAATGGCTGATCAGTGCCTTATAAATGCAGAGTTTGCATGTGTTCCTTGCTGAAAAATAGCTTTCACAAGATCACAAGTATACTGTCTGATCTTATTGTAGGTAACAACATTTATAGTCAAGATATCAGTAAAGTGCTTAAGGAGTTAAAAGGTCCTGAGAGATCTGCCTATATTTTGATGGAGAAAATCCTGCCTATTCCTTCACCTAACATTCTTCTGAGACGAGACAAGCCCCCCACCATCTGTGACTGTTTGAGTGAGCTGAGCATGTACGGGGCCTATGTCAGGTATAACAAGTACAATTCGGCATAAGAAAATCACTGTACTTATTATTTTGTGTGCTACTGTGCATTTGCAGGCATGGCAAAGAGATGGTGCTGAATGAACCTATCGGCCATCTGCTCCGGACTAAGGTAGCAACAGACCATGAGGGGGGCCTAATGATAGGTCGGTCTGGAATAGATAATCCCCTTCTTTACTAAAAGGTCAACTTTAATGTTTTTCATTACATGGTTTCTTTGCTTTCAAAGGTCTCAATCTGATAAGTCAATTTTATATTTGAAGTTCCTGTTTGGATGTATTGTATGTTGTTGTATTAATATTTCCTGGGCAGAGGGGGTTTGTTTGGCTAGCAAACTGACCAATGATACAATTATAATGGAAAACACAGTGTATTTATTAGGACAGTGCGATTTCATTGACCATAAAGGCAGAGATATTTGTATCAGACTGTATCTCAAAAGGCAGGGAGGGTTTATTGTGCAATTTACACTATACTGTGCAGATATTATGCTACTTAGGCTTAGGATTTCTGGTAACATATTTATGATAGACTATTACATGAAACAGGTTAAATATATATGACAAGCAGCTGATTGACAAGCATAAAATGAAATGAATATATAGAAATGAATATATATTTTAATATAGTTACTCAGAGGAGCAGTGTAATGAAATGGCATGATATGGCTTGTGGCTAGATCCACACCTGGAAGTATGAGTTGTTTACAGTCGACCTACTAATGATCATAAACATGTATATATTAACGGTGATATCTATACTTTAATATGAATGTAAATGATATGACATGATGATAAATAACAACACTAATATAAACTGAAATAAAAGTGATTCAAAACCAGGACCAAAATGTAAGTATTTCTTTATTTTCTCAAGCCATTCCACACTATGAAGGCCAAACATCATCCCACACTTTCATCACCCAAATCAAATGTGCTTTTTGAATGTATGACGTTTTCTTTCCCAACAAAAAGAGACATTCATTTTTGCTTGATATTGACTTGTTTTGGCAAAGCAGTGCCTATAGCTTTAGTTCAGCGTTTGTCACAAACTGTTGTTAACGTGAAAGCCAGCAGCTCACAGCAGTGGATAGCTCAATCCAGTGTGTGGTTCTGGTGCAGGTGGGCAGACATCTTTGGATCAAACACATATGTGGCTTCATAACCCTGTACTACAAAGGGGTATATTAGTGTGATCTTTAATTATACCTTTCCTGTAAAATGTAATCTACATCTGTAATACAGTTAGTGTTGATCGAGTCCTCGCAATTAGGTCTAATGTGGTAGTATCATATATTGACTGTTCCTATGTAGAATATCCAGTCAGCCATGCAAATAAATTTTTCATAAAGGTTAGATTGTTTTGAACTGACAAAACTAAAATGAGAAGGCAAAAGTACAAAGCTGTAGCAGTATTTCACAGAGCTTTAGTGAGCTGAAGTGGAAGACATGTTGAATGGAAGAAGTTTCCAAATCACTTTTCAAAGTGAGTGGGTCTGACTGGCCAGACAGGCATTTGGAAAAAGCATTACAGAGCTCCCTGCAACAGATTACAATACTGTGGAAATTGGAATATTTCAGTTGAACTTGCATGCCTTTAGTACACATTGAAACTTAAATGCTTCAAATCCATCACAGTATGTATGCACAAGCCAAGTCAGTGGTACACATTCATATTTTTGTGTTGTTTACATAAAATTGTAGAGCTGCAAAGTCCAGTTAAAAGTTTCTTTGTAGTACAGGGCCTACAGGGTGATGGAGTGCTGCACTGCAAACTGTATGTGTTGTTATTTCAGCTTCTGTGTGACGCTAATAATACTGCTGGGAAAGCTCATGTTAAAAAGCTAACTTACTATACAACCTCTCACTCACAAACAGGAGTTTGCATCTAAAAGGCTCAGGCGTCCCTCGTCTGTGTCCAAGCGCTGCTCCTACATTCAGCTCTGATGCTGCTGAAATGTAATACTGTCAAAATGGCCCACTGCAATCAATTCATGAAGACCACAAAAGTCCAGCAGTTTAAGAATACATAACCAAAAAAAGATGCAAGCCTGAAAAATTAAATAAAAAAATCCCTCTATCTTGCTATGTCAGTGCCAAGCTGAAAGCAGTCTCTCTTTGCTGCCGCTTCGTCCGGCATAGGTCATAAATCATCCATGTGATTCTCTGTGAGTCCTTAGCTGAACAAAAATTGTGGTTTAGTTATGGTTTGAACAAAATGAAGAGTTTCTCTCCGTCTCGAGATTTTACAACTTCAAACTGGAGTCATGGGCTGTCATGGGTATCTTCAGAGTTCATCCCTGTGAAAAACAGTTGATAAAGTTAGTACATGTAAAACTGTTTGCATTGTGAGTCACACATCTGCTGCATCGTGCATGAGTAAGGTTGACCAGTAGTTCTGTGGTATGAGCTCCACTAGTGATTCATGCCCTCGATGAAGACATAACCATGCCCTACTTAGGCAAAAGTTTAACAAGCCTTTGTGATCAAACTATCTTTCCAGGCTTGGTCTGGCATAAAACAGAGACAAACTGGGCCATAAATATTTGAACTTTGATTTTGTAATATCCAGAATTAAATTACAATTTGTTCTTTCTTTAAAATTATTAAAACAATGGTCATTATCTAACCTGGATGCAAGGACATGCAAGACGGACTAATAGGGCACTTTGTAATTACTGCTGCATGTTTCACTGCAAAAGGTCCCTGTTTATTAGCATGGTCATTATAGAATTTGAGTAAACACTTCAACAGTTCATGCAAGAGAGAATATGCAAATACCAAATACCAAAAGGAGTAATGTGTTAACTGAAACATTTAGATTTTCCAAACAAGGTGGTTAGAGCAGTGACCTCCTGGGATCCTTTAAACAAACTGTCTAAATTCAAATCATATTCGATTAATGTAACACATGTTTTAAATGGCTAATAATGAATGCAGCACATTTACTTTGCTTTATCTTTGAGGTGCCATTCAGAAGTAGTAGACAATTTATCCACAAGTTCCCAGTGCAGGTCACACTCTCTTAACCAATTTAAATTTTTAAAGTGATCCAAAGTTCAAAATTCAAAGTCATGCATTATTAAGTGTGATGTCCAACTTCAATGGTGAAGTTGGTTCTTTTGGTTTTGAGTTTGGTTTTAGGCAGGCACGTTTAGTTTATTTGAAGTTAATGTAAAAAATAAAAGAAACGTGCAGTTACTCGGTATGGTATGGAAGAAGCAAAAAAAAGTCAACAAGCAGCAAAATGCAGCCGGTTGTGCCTCTCCGTTGCCTGCTCCAAGCCACACCATTTCACCTTTGCCATCGCGAGAAGGAGAGAGGGAAGGAGAGCAAGAGGAAGTCACTTCCACCTGGACCACTGCTTGTCTTTGTCTGTTAAAGGCACATAAATCACCCCCATGAGGGGCTTCATTTTGGTGCTGCCATCCTCCAGCTTATCGTACTGCTCCAGCATCTGGTTCCCTCCGGCCGGTCCCACGGGCAGGATGAGCCGCCCGCCCGGTTTTAACTGGTCCAAGAGCTGCAGCCACAAGACAAATGCTTGAGTCACCAATAGACATTACGACAGATTAGATTTAGTCTCTTCAAAGTCTTCTATGAATTTGGGCAGTCACATCAGGTCATGCACCATTACAACCACAATGAAAATATCTTGTTTTTTCTGTACACATCTTTGCATTTTGAAACATTTACGTTTTTACTAGTTTACACTTTTATAGTATTATTCATTATAATACTATAAAAGTATAATAAGGTTAACAAACAAAGTATCTAAGCCCACACATCTCCTTATATCTACCCAATTACTTGTTCCTATTGTGTAGTTTCTGAATTACATTTGACAACTCAATAATGGAAGTTGGTGCGTTGAGGATAATGATAACTATGATCTGCAGCTATGCACTCACAGCTTGGGGAACAGTGGGTGCTGCTGCTCCAACATGAATGGCATCAAATGGTGCCTCCTCAGGACAGCCCATACGGCCATCTCCAACTGCAAACAGACAATATATTAAGACAGTCAAACTTGAACAGCTAACTTGAATAAGTCATAACATTTTTACAACAAGTATCAACATGAAATGACTGTTCGCTAACAATGTTTTGTGCAAACATGAAGCTTGAAGTACTCCTAGTATCAGGTCAGATTTAATAGCTACTTACCTACTAACTTGATTCTTCCAGACATTATTAAACTGGGGTCGTCTTTCTTCACATTATTTATCGAATCATCTACCAGCTCTTTGATGTGATCAATACCTATAACTTTCCCTTTAGGACCTACCTGTAAAATCACAACAAGGGCAACAGTAAAACAATATATAAAGCTAAAATTCAACTCACACTCAATACCAATCCCAATACCATAATGACAATATAAAAAAAACACTCTTTATTTAGGCAACAGAATATGATTTTCCACATTAAATCATATTACCATGTGGGCATAACACTAACCATTATACCTATGCAGACGCTCAGTTGTGCAGGTAGGCTCCATAGAGGTCCATGGGCGTATAGTAGTCTGTGGTTTTATACTTGTTCTGTTACAGCTTAAGATAATTCTAAAGGTATTCAGGAAAAGTTTATTTCTGTCCTGTGAATGTGACTTTTTTAGTATTGATAGCTGCTCAAAGAGGATCTGGTTTTGATAATAGTTTTAGGATTGATTAGTATCTGATTTACTAAACTTTTTTTTTGATGGCTGTAAACTTAAAACTCTCTGTGGTTCTATTTTTTCTAAACTGTTCAAATCACAGCTAGTTAAAATTAGGCAAGTCTAAATCATTACAAAAATACACAACGCTATCAAAACCACTATAGATTTGATGAGGAGTGCCAACATTGAAGCGCACCAATGTGGCTTACCATTCGTGCAAAGCAGACTGATAAAATGCCACTACCAGATCCAACGTCTAGGGCCTTGGCTCCTTCGTACAGCTGGTCGTGAAGCAACTCCAAGGCGTATGCATGCTATGAAAAGAAAAATGATAAAAAATACTGCAAATGAATAGCTACATTACAAAAACTGGCATCATCATTTATCAAGCTGCTGCCATTGTCAACATTTGAAACAATTTCTCACATAAACACATGAACAGGATTTAGCCAAGCACCATTTTAATCAAATAAAAGATCATCTAATTTTGTGAGATGAAAAGAACAACTCAGTCACTTCTTAGTTTGCCATGATTTAATACATTATTAATCTGGAAATGGCTCAGAACTGTCAAGAATCCTTTAATTCTTACCATATGTGGAGCACTAATGGTCGCTTGATAGCCTTAAGGAACAAAAAAAGAATACATTTTGTTAGTTAATATTGCTTTAATTGTAATCATCCAAGCTGCTTCTTCAGTTCTACTTTAACTTTAATTGTACGCTATAATTCTAATTTCATCTCAGGATATGAACTGGCTGTACCTATCGACTGTGGAGAGTCCATGTAGGGGTTACACCTAGAGAAATGTGCCCGGTCTGTTGCCAGCATGACCTCGTAGACCCTGTCCGACTTAATAATACCATTTTCTGAAAAAAAAAAAAGACATAGAACTTCATGACAAGATGAAATCAGTAAGACAATACAGGGCTATACACATTCACTTAGTCCCATAAAACTATTAAAAAGATTAACATTTAAAAAGTATGATAGCTTAAAATTTCAGGGCAGCATTTTGACCTCCTTGGGTTTTTTTTTTTATATTTTTGACACTACCAGGTCCATTTATATTTCCTTTACAGCCCTAAATTACAATGCATTAATACTTGTGACAGTTGCGTTAAGTCCATGCTAAACTTAAATTTCACATTGTAAGGCTGTATCCACTTAATAAGTATCATATCTTAATAAGCCTGTAGTCGACTAAAGACATGTCCTGCCAATTGATTAGATGACTAAAAAGGGGGCATAACAAACTCTCTCAAAACTTCTCTCTGTATCTAGACCAATTAATCAAATAAAGGTCTTCAGCCCTGATATGTTATCAAATAAAAGATGAAAGAAATTTGACCAATTTACAATAATATACCAAATGTGACTGAATAAAGAAGTGAAGAGGACAGTAAAGTGTTTGTGTTCAGGGTTAATCCTCCAACAGGTTTGAGCAGCAGCTGCTCGCAGAGAGGAAGAGGCTGGGACAGCCGCTCTCATTCCCCCTACTCTTCTCCCCACCCCCCCATCACCTCCGTCACCCCAGAGCCACGCGGGGATACATTTCTAATACCCCAAACACACTGCCAGATGGCAGACATGCAACACTCGGCAAATATAAATAACAACAAACCGTTTGGGGTTTGTTTCCTGCAATCAAATAGTGAACTAAAGACTAAAATGATACAATTTTACTAAGAATTCAACACTTTTTATTATGTTAAAAAAGCAAAATCTGCAAACCTTACATCTCACAGTTTTTGCTTGTTTATGCAGGTCAGGATGTAATGTTAAATAAACTTATATTTTCATAACTCACTAAAGCTTTTGCATAGTCTACTGCAGTTTTGTAGGTATATATAAATCTAAAACGTTTATCAAATATATATTCTTCATTTTTGCAGTTACATTTTGGATGTAAATCTCATTATACAAGAAAATATATACCATAAAATAAATTCTTAAAGAATCACTTCTACACAAGTTAGGGAATACTCAATATTACAAAAAAAGCTTGGGAAGCTCTAATCTATAGTATAGTCTTTCCTATATAAAAGCATTGTTTAGGATTAGCATTCATCCCATGTGAAGTCTTCTTGTACAAACTCAAAGTGGAGGCATGGGTCGAAAGGGGTCTCCAGAAGAAAAAAAAAATATTAAATTGGTTTTCAACTATAAAAATTAAATAAAAACATTGCTGGACTGAAATTAAGACAACTAAGGCTATAACCAAACAGTTCATTTACGCTTGATTCAACAGTTAGTTCACTTTCTGTTACCGTTAAAGTAAACTGGGAGTTAAAAAAAGATTAGATTTTAGAGACTTATCTTATACACCCTGGCTGATTCTACATTTGCTTGAAAACCTACCCCACTGGACTTTGGATTTTAGATTCCATAAACATGACCTAATGACAGTATTCCAAGATACAAGATCAAATATAAATCTAATATATCAATCAGTTGTTTTATTCTTAAGTATAAAATAATAAAAATGATGGCCAAGTTGTTTAAAGCTGCTGTTTGGGTTTTCAAGATGATCCAATAATTTATCAGTGTCTCTGTTGCTGCAGTATATGCATATAAAACCTGTTTGTGTCCTCAATATGCGGGTTAAGGCACTGGCACCCACCCAAGTTCAGATTCCTTAAATAGGTGAAAGAAAAAAGGTAAGTGCATTTTGTGTCCTAAGGCAATCTCCAGAAAGTGTGATCAGTGTGACATGAAGTTGGCTAAATTCATACTTCATCACCCCAGGCGCACCATCTGTCGTCTCTGTTGTTCATTCAGGTTGTGCACACGCGTTTCACCTGCTTCTGTCATTCTCTGCCCAGATCAGCTGCAGACAGCATCAATGAAAAGAGGCAGGGCACTTGCTGCTACTGCTGCTACTGCTACTGCTGCTGCTGCTGCTGCTGCTGTTAGCCACCGCGCTGTTGCAAATGACGCACATTGAGCTAACACGCTAAGCTAACAACTGAGAGAAAAGGTCAAGCCAAGAAAAGTCCAGATGGATCGGTACTATAGTGGTCGCTTTTGCAATCTGAAAGCATGCGATTGGCGTGCTGAGTAAAGGAAGTTGTTGAAAGGGGAGGAGAGGTAGGTAACGCTAGGGCAACAACACAGCACATAGCAACCAGCTAGCCGTGGCTCCACTACAAGCCCTGGGCTGCTAAAAATGTAGTTTTTGCATTTAAACGGGAGGAATGTGAATGCACCCGGATGCAACAAAACAGACTTACTGCGGAGGTTGTTAACAAGCTCTGCGTGACTGGTTCCTCCAGATTTCCAGGCCATTATTAGACAGACTTTGCGGAGCAAGTAGACAGCAGCTGTCAGTGCCGCGCCTGCGCCAAAGGTTTGGCCGAGGAAGCGCACCACCTCCAGAGCCGACGGCTGCGCGACGTCACCGGGCATCAGGTCGGGCTCGGGTTTCACCGCAGGGTTACCTCAGGAGCGGGTATGCAACTATACAACCACGTCATGTCATTTCATAACGCTATGTTTCATCCACAGGTAAGAGCACACAGGAAAGCCTTTCGTCCCCACTTTATAATGAGCTTTACCGGGAGATTTTATCTGCAGAAAGACCACCAGAGGGCGCACATCCAGACTCCTCTGCACTGAATTATAGACCAACAACACTCCAGGAGCCGTCAAAGTCTGAAATGGTGGTTTCTAACACACATTTATTTGATTTAAAGTCCGTGTTTCTCAAAACTGTGATAACCCTAAACAAATTGTATTTTTATTAAAGACATTAAAGGTTTATAGGGAGCATCTTGCATAGTCTCTACTGAGATATCTGATAAGATTGACCAATGTTATTGCTTTTGTAAGTGTGTTGCAGTGCTCATGAGCACAGCAGCAGTATTTACAGCACAAAACTCCACCTCTATCGCAGTCTGTCACATGAAGCAGGAACAGGAAGCTTCCCCTGCCCTTGCAGTACTAAGTTGCGTTTCCAGTGAAGACACAACCCATATCTGAGAAAAGAAAGCATTCAAAATTCAGAAGAGGATACAGACATTAGTGAACTCTGCACTGTATGTAAGTATAGTTTATTTTTGTGTAATCACAATAGCTTATTATTGATTGAATGTTAAAGACAGACAGGTACATGTATTATAGATTATAGATCAAATTCGTTGGTGGTTTTGGTGCCAAAGACAACGATTCAGCTTGCTTCAAACAAATTAACCTAAACATCCCAGTTAAGCCAATGCAAATGAAAAAATGGGAAAAAAAAGCATTTTGTTAAACTGATTGATTGAGCCTACTTTCATAGGTGTGTACCTGTGTCTTGCTATCTTTTTTGCTACTTAGTCAATTTTTTTTTTTTACCATTTATATTTTTGCTCTTTGTTATTTTATTTATTGTGATGTGTGAGCTACTGTGTCCAAATAATTTCCCTTGTGGATCAATAAACTTTGTCTAATTAAGTCTAAGTCTAAGTATGGCTGGTTACTTGCAGTTTATCAGTTTATCAGTCAGTAACATTCATGGCAGTGACAGTCAGTTTCATTTGGTTAGTAAGGACCATTACCTTATTATCTTCTGTCATAAAGTCATACACAATAAAAGGATATTAAATGTCTGAGAACTTTGTTTTACTTTATAGAACACAATGGCTTCTGGGTTGGAGGAGGAGCTTCATTGTCAGATTTGCCTGGACATCTTTAAGAAGCCAGTGATCCTGCCATGTAGCCACAGCTTCTGCAAAGCCTGCCTAGAGACCTGGTGGACAGATAATGCCACAAAGGAATGCCCAGTTTGTAAAGAAAAACATTTACGAGCAGACATAAACACTCTGCCATCTAATTTGGTATTGAGAAACCTTTGTGAAGCTTTCATACTGCAGAGAGATAAAGATGCAACCACTCCTCTATGTACCTTGCACTCGGAAAAACTCAAACTTTTCTGCTTAGACCATCGAGAGCCTGTTTGTGTTATTTGCCAGGCTTCAAAAGCACACAACAACCACACATGTAAGCCGATAGATGAGACTGCCCATGACTACAGAGAGGAACTGCAAGAAACAATTGGACATTTAAAGAAGAAACTAAAGCAATGTGAACTTTTATTCGCAAAGTGGAACAATTTAGGCAACCATATTGAAGTCCAAGCAATCAGAACTGAAAAGCAAGTGAAAAAGGAGTTTGCAAAACTTCACAACTTTTTACATAGAGAGGAAAAGGACAAGTTAGCAGTTTTGAGGGAGGAGAAGGCACTAAAGAAGAGTAAGATTGCTGAAAGGGTTCTTGTTATAAGTAAAGAAATGCAAGCTCTAAATGAAACAATCAAAGCAACAGCTAAGGAGATGGAGGCTGAGGATGTGAAGTTTTTGACAAAGTACAAGGACACTGTGGAAAGGGTGGAACGCTGTCCTCTGGTGGATGAGCAGAAGATGAGCACGGGAGCTCTCATAGATGAAGCCAAGCATCGGAGCAATTTGCGTCTAAACGTGTGGATGAAAATGAAGGACACGATCACTTACAGTCCAATCATTTTAGATCCAAATACAGCAGGGGCTCGACTGATTGTGTCAGATGATTTAAGTACAGTCAGCGTTGGAAAGTCAAAGTTACAGCTTCCTGAAAATCCAGAGAGGCTGAGCAACTATTGTGTCTTAGGTTCAGAGTGGTTTACATTTGGGACTCATAGCTGGAAGGTAGAAGTTAAAAACAATCAAAACTGGACTTTGGGTGTTGCGACACTCTCTGAGCAACAGGGAGGTGCTAGTCTAACTCAAATATGGAGATTGGCCTACTCTGACGGGACATATACTGCAGAAACCAAATCTGGGGACTGTACTTTTCTTTCCCTCAAAAAACGGCCTCAAGAGATCAGAGTTAATCTAAATATTGAGGGTGGAAAGCTGTCATTTTTTGATGCAGAGATACAAACACATTTATGTACATTCACAGATATGTTCACTGGGAATAAACTGTATCCGTACATGTTTACTGAAGAGGAGACACCACTCAAGATACTACCACATAATGTGAACATCAAAATAGAATATCAGTAATGTTTTCCTAATAGGCTAAATCTTATGGACTACATAAATCATAGTCATGTGTCTGCTTATTTCTATTTAATTATACTGCACTTCTACTACATCTTGGATTTTACCTGTGGATTCTCCTGTCTGAAAATAGGAGAAAGATGGTTAATAAAGATCTTGTTGAACTCTAATGAAAATACAAATGCAATCAACATGTCATTCCTTCATTAAAATTTACACATTCTCATTCTCTACTCTTTTCTAAATGTCCCTTGCGGCCCATGAGTATTTTTGGGGACTGAAATGTGGTCAACTATCAAAGCAGGTTGGGAATGACTGTAGATTTCTCCATATTGTAATTAATCTGTTATAAGTTATACATTGTTTTGGAACTGAGCAATTCCTGAGTAGATAAAAATATTTCTAAGTTTTGTGATTTTTAATGAACAAAATAAATAATGCTATAAATGAATGCTATTTTGTCACAATGGTTCATGGTAAATTTTTAAACGGACAGTCGCCCCAGTCCATCACTGACCTACTGTGCCCATATGGTTGCCTGACTAGCCAAAGCGTATGTCAGACTCCACTGACTCTTACAAAGCAGCTCAAGAAGACACTATTATTTAGACAAACGTTTGGTTCAGTGTCTCTTTCTTTATGACTTGTGTATGTTGTATTTTATTATTGCACTCTGTAAAGCTCTTAGTGATTTATAGCTGTGAAAGGTGCTCTATAAATAAAGTCTTACTTAGTTAATTGGCATAAATTGTTGCAGTATTTTGACGCGACATTGTAATACATATCTCTTACCACACGGGGGAGACACGCTTCTGACAAATTAACGTCAAAAACAACGCAAAGAAGAAAGCTCTGAAAACTACAGGCGCGAGGAGCATGCTAAGCTAATACAAACTCTATCACTAATATTAACACAGATTCAGGACTTTTTGTGTCATGGATGGAGTTGTAGCTAAGTACGTGTCTCAGAAAATCAGTAAAACTAGATGGAGACCGGTTTCACACACGACTCTGCAGCAGCCGGACATCTTTGCTACGGGATCATGGGACAACGAGGTTAGTTGTCAACTCTTTAATTCATTCAAACATTAGCTGATATTTTGTCTTCTGTCAATTCAAACTGGTTATATATTTCAATAAACCCGTAATACTAGGCTATCAAACGCTCTACATCTGGAATCAACCCCCTTACATACATACTTTATTAATTTTTTTAAATATGTCACATATGTCGAAATGGATTGGTTAAAGTTGGTCTAATTACTCGAGGATGACATGGTGTGCTGTGTGTACATGAAATCCACACATATGTCTAAATAATAATGACATTTCCTTTTCTCTGATGTGTGCCATAGGACAACAAGATTTCCATTTGGTCTATTGGCAACAATGAAGTGGCAGCAATGGAGGATGGATTTGAAGGAGACCCACAACTCTTATGTGAACTCAGGCACGATGGAGATGTTATGGATCTCCAAGTAAGTGTAAATGTAGTGAAATGTGAGCAACAAGCCATATGGTGTCATGCTCTATGTTTGTTTTGGTTTTAGTTTTTGGATCAGGAAAGAATTGTCACAGGGTCTTCAACAGGAGCCGTCACTATTTTCCGTCATAATCAAAACAGTCAGGTAGATATGATCTTTTCTTCACATCCTCATGCTCCTAGTCAGTTGTTTATATGTCATTAATAAATGAATAAATATGTATGTTGTTATTACAGACGTTATCCATCTCTCAAAGCTGGGCACGAGCACACCACTACCCCAGTGACAATGCTCCCTGCACTGGTGTCGTGTGCAGCAGTCCTGAGATTGTCACAGTTGGTGAAGACGGCAGAATTATCACCTTCAGAGCTGACCACGAAACAGTAACTCGAGTTATAGGTGTGATTTTTCGCACTAATTGTACAGTACAAGAGTTGACTACGAGCTGGATGGTGCACTGTAATTCCACAAATTTTACTCTGTGTATAATATTTCTGATTTCTCCAGATAATGCGGATAGCAGCACTATTCATGCAGTCACTTACTTAAAAACTTCTGAGATACTGACGGTGAACTCTATTGGTCAACTAAAGCTGTGGGATTTAAGACAACAGGGCAACTCTCCATCCCAGATTCTGTCATTGTACGTTACATTTTAATTTTAGCTTGAATATTGTTCTGGGTTACTGATTGACACATACATACATACATTTGAATTTCAGGTCAGGTGACAGAGTTCCCTTCATTGTGTGGGAAGACATCCAAACCAACAGCATATCGTGGCCACTGGTGGACAAGATGGCATGCTCTGTGTATGGGATGTGAGGCAAGGAAACACACCCTTCTCGCTCATGGAGGCACATTCTGCTGAAAGTAAGTCTTGAAATAAACTTGCACGTTTGTTTGAGTTGAACTATTTTTAGCAGGCAGTGGCTAATTACTGAAACCGCTAAAACAATTATAATTTAAGTGATGATTCTCCTGAGAACCTTTCTATATTTCCACCTTACCTGGTTTATTTCTGCTTGCACTGCTTCTAGTTCCAAAGACTGAATTTGTCCTAACTTTTTGTCATCAGTGTGGGAGGTCCATTTTCATCCAACCAACCCGGATCATTTATTTACTTGTTCAGAGGACGGATCTTTACTCCACTGGGAGACCTCGTCACCAGACACACCCTCATTCTTACAAGGTCAAATCTACTACAACACAAACACTATTTTAAACAATAATCTCCTCAGATTACCTCAAATTTGATTGGACTAAGCATCTATTTTCTTGTCTGTTATCCAGGTGGCAGGAACAACAGCATGATGTCTCGTAGTGCAATGGCCCCAGCTGGAGGGAACCAGTCCATCATTAGTGCCTGGCTCAACGGCGACTCCAGTAAAGGTCGTCTGGAGACAACTCACATGCTGCCAAGCCAAACACTGTCAGTGAACAGCTTGGATGTTCTGGGACAGTGTCTTGTGTGTGGGACAGATGGAGAGGCCATTTTTGTAAGTAGGCAGGTGCCAGTGTAGGGAAAAAGACATTGTGAATGAGATTAGTATTTTGTACATTAAGTATATACAATTTTCTGTGCTACAGTGGTACAAATTGTACACACATTTGCCATAATGTGAGCATGTCTCACATATTACAGATCAGTGTATTCAGAAGCATATAATGTTGAAATAAACACATTTTGTAAACATAATATTCAGACTGAATTTGCATTTACTTATACATTGAATGTTATGGAAAAGAGTAAAGTCCTATTGATGGGGCTGCACATTACTTTTTTTTTTATTGAGGTGGGGCACATATTCTTGTGACCTTGATGAGTGTAATAAATGATCTATCCAATAAAAGGGCACAATGATAAACATAATGTGACTGTATTTTTTGTTCTGTATTTTTATGTTTCCATAACACCATAAGCCATGGCTTTGAGGCCAGGTAGATACTGGATAGCGCTAGTGGCATTCAGATGTTGCATCCGGGTACCTTAGTCATCAAGTGTCGATATCGAGATACAGATCATCTTCCGCAAAGTTTTATGGTTTTATACCATAGACTGTATAAAGAATTTAATTATTATACTGATCATCTCTTTTCATAGTTGTTATGCAAATTGTAATTGATTTAACGCTGACAATAATTCATAAAGTACTTATCTCTGTGAATGATTTGTGATTTTATGTAATAGAGAAGTTTTATTTTGGTATTTGGTATGCGGAAGTAGAGTGTTGGAACCTGGGCTTGACACTGTTGTACTTGTCATTCAGACATCCCAGGAATTCAACAACACCATAAGCGACCAACACGGGATAACAAGGGCATTTTAACTCACGAGCGGGCTCTGTGCCCCGAGAGGGACAATGAGCTCATAATTTTTGTGGGATCACCTTGGAAATCACTGTAAGTATAGTTTTCAGATAGTTATTGCTTTGTCAGTAAACTTATCTAATGGGTGCAGTGCTAACCTGTTGTTGAATTAGCCTAGCAGCAAATGGAGGCCGCGGAGCCTCTGCTTGTTCCGTGAAACTTTCAACTAACACAGCTAAAGACGGCTGTAGGAAAATAAGATTGTGGAAATGTGTTTATTGTGTAATTAATTTATCATCATTCACGAGAGAGCTTCTAAGAGCTACAAACCCGCACTCAGAAAGTTTCTGTAATGCACCTCACCTAGTGTTAGCGCCAGCTGCTACTGACGCCAGTCAACAAGTGTACAGAGACATGTTTTAATGAAATAATTAATATTATGTAATTTATTTCTAAAATGATAGTACATTTATGCAATCTCAATTCAATACACATATTGCCATGCGTATTGTGTAATAGTGAGGCCTGGTTGGTGTGTTTACATTTCTATTTATAAGTAATTGTCAACACGTTGATCTCTCAGTGTTTTAATTAGTATCTTCATCTTGTAGGGCCAAACCTGTTGGGTAACTACATAGTTTCTCTGAATGCCTTATAACATTTTTGTTCTTCCTTTGGCAGAACTATGCCGGTGTGCAGTCTTCTCCTCCCCTCATTCTTGTGAAGCTTCTCTCATCTCTTCGTTATTATTGTTCAGGTGAGGAGTCAACCTGAAGGCCACGGACCAATGAGACCCAAAATGTTTCCCACGAACAACTACAACAGCCAACAAATGCTGCAGGAAATCCGAAACAGTCTGCGCAACATGACAAAACCCTCGGACCCACCTAAAGCAGACATGAGCTGTTCTGCGAAAATGCTTTTGGAAGACTCGAGGCAGCAGGGGCGATCCAGTAACCCCAAAAACCCACACCATAAGGCTCTACAGGAGATCCGAAAATCTCTGCAGCCCTTTGCTAATGAACCCAGTCATCCATCAGAAAAACACATGTCTATGGATCCACCGTGGGCCAGCTTTGAAGAGGTGAGACTAATATGATTTTGTACATCACAACTCTATTATATATCACTCGGCGCACTTTGTTTAAGGGACAATTATTTAGAAAATGAGAAGTATGTAAAGTTGAAAGACAAGCTTGTGCAGTTGTAAGTTTACTCAAAAGTATTTCCTCAGTTGGCAGCCACTATTTGTTTAGAGAACACTGGCATTCATTATTGTAATGCAGACCTATTTTGAGTAGCATAAGTTGTTGTTGTTTCTTTTTGTTGTAAGTATTAAAAAAGAAAACCCAATGCAAGAAGAGTTATAGCGAGTGATGTTTGATGATCTGTGATGCCTTTGCAAAATGTAATTAATGTATACTTTGATAAACAAAACATTGTTCTCTAGATTTTGATGAATCTGTAATAAATAGACATGTTTTCATGTCATTTCAGCCTGGTCACAGTCGTAGTATGGGGGGTTTGGATTACATGAGTAAGGTGAGCTACCAGGACCCAATGAGGGAACAGATGGCTGCTGCCAACCCCAGCGGTTCGAGCCTGAAAGCCTCAGGTATGTAAACTGTCCACTGGGAGTCACCTCCTTTTATCCTTTGTTTGTGCGTGTTGACTCAACCAATGCACTGTGCGGTTTACTAGATTTAGGACATCTGCCTAAAATGTGACAAAAGCCATCTGTTAGTCAATGAATGTATCACTTCAACTACATGTCAACTTATTATAACCAATTTGCTGGTTATATAACCAAGCTGTGTGTTTCATTTTGTGAAATAATATGTCTGTTCTCTGGACTAATTGGTAAAAATCCACTAATCTCATTGTAGTTTTAAAGCTGCTCTATGTAACTTTTCTGGTGGAGTGATCTGTTAGCTGCTTGTCTCATGGAGATGTTGCTTTGCTGGGAAAATTCCACACTATCTGAATAATCTTATCTGTCTTTCATGTATTAAATTTCAGGCATTTTATTGCTGAAAATACTTGGTTTTTTTTTTGCTATGGAGATTGCAAAGTTGTTTGCCATTTTGTAGAACATCCTCACAACAACAACTGGAAAAGAAAACATTTTAGACCCTCAACTTAACCTGGACCCTTTTAATATTCTAAAAAGAATGGGAAAACCAAAGCCACAATAAAATTTGGCAGAATGATATTTATTATGAAATAACAAAAATGTATATCAACCTTAAAAAATCTGACTAAATATTTAGTCTTGTACTGAAAAGCGAATCATGTTAATGCTAAAATCTTCTAAATGTTGTATTATATATATTGTAGGTTCATCTCACCTTCAGCAGCCAGTCCTAAGGAGGCCCAGCTGGAAGGGATCTCGAGAATCCCTAACCCCCCGACACGGCCCACTGATGGCAGACGGGCTGTACCGGTCCGACAGCCCTGGACCACCTCCTGCTTTTCCACAGGGCCACCCCTCTAACAGCCAGAGAGTGAACCCCCCTGTCCCCCCTCAGGTCCGCAGCGTCACTCCACCTCCCAACCGCGGTCCGATGCCCCCTGCGCCATCTTGGGACAACCCATCCACCAAACGCTACTCCAGTAACATGGATTATCACGTGCCACGCATCTCGCCAGTGCCACAGGGGGCGTGGCCTGAGAGCTACTCCTCCTCAGCTACTCAAAGTCAAAGAGGCAGCCACCAGCCAATCATAATGCAGAACACTGGCCCTAATAAGTTTACCTTTCCTTCCTGGTCGCAGAATAACAACCCGCAGTCAGATTACCATTCAGGAAGCAGGCAGCCCCCTCCACCTTATCCTGTCAACCAGTCCAGCCGCCATAGCCCCACAGACCAGACAGGAGGCCCGGCATCGTCCCCGTCTTACGTCAATGGTGGTAATCTTCCTCAGTCTATGATGGTGCCCAATAGGAACAGCCACAATTTGGACTTGTACGGATTAGGCCCTCCCCAGACATGGTCCCAAGCCCCTTCCAGCCAGCTTCAGTCGTCATCCGGGAACAGCAGTAACCAGGATCTGTCTCCGTCATGGCAGAACATCCCAGTCCGCTCCAACTCCTTCACCAACCCCAATCTGAACGGTAGGGCATGCCATTCCTCCAACTCCCAGCCTTCTGCCACAACCGTTACCGCCATCACCCAAGCCCCCATCCTGCAGCCCATCAAAAGCATGCCTGTACAGAAGCCGGAGCTCCACACAGCGGTTGCCCCCACTCACCCCCCTTGGGCACAACCGCCTCCTCCCCCTCAAGCCGCACCCGCATACCCCGAACCTACGTCATCCATTCCTCAAATATCGGTGGTACAAGAAGCTCCGAGTTACCAAGGTCCCCCCCACCATATCCCAAACATCTTCTTCAGCAAACGGCCACACCAAGTCCACCTGCCTACGACCCAGCAGCAGGTAAGGCAAGTTCGGTTGACGATGAAGGGATTTCCGGAGACGTACCAAGAGAAAAAGCACCAGAAAATGCAGAAAGTACAACGGAAAAGGAGAAAAAGCAGATCACAACGTCGCCCGTTCCATTAAGGCGCAACAAGAAGGATGCAGAGAGGAGAGGGGAGTCCGGGAGAGTGGCGTTGTACTCCCCACAAGCATTTAAGTTCTTTATGGAGCAGCACGTGGAAAATATCCTCAAGAACCACCAGATGAGGATCCGCCGCAGGAAGCAGCTGGAGAGTGAGATGCAAAGGGTAAGGAAATAAAACCTGTATACAGTTTGCTGTGTGTATATTACGATCCTCAGAGTTGGGAAAATTGCATAGAGTAAGAAACATGAAGCAGATATTTATATTAGGACTACAAATCGCCAAAGTATCGCCAATTCTCAGTCATTATTTAGAACATTTGAAATAATGTTTAGTATGTAAATACACTGTGGAAATAATGATCATACTACCACAAGTTGGATGAATAATTGACGGACTGTCTGCTTTAGATTTACTGTTTGTGGTCTGGTCCTTTCTGTCCTTCATCTTTATCTTTAAACCTTTTATTCTGTTCTTATTTCTCTTCTTTTTCTTTCTGTCTTTCCCTCCTTGCCTTCAGCTCATCTAAAAGGTAAATGTTTACATTGTAACTAACAAACAAAGGGATTTTGTTCCATCTCCTTGTAGTTTGAGCATTGTATTTATGGACTTCAATTATATATCGGTATTTATTTATGGACTTTGATTACATATTTGTATTTATAAATATGTTTAAGTCTGCAACAAATTACTGAAATTCCTTTGTGCTTCACGCATGTTGGTTTGAACAAATGTGGCATGAAGTTCAACAAGTTCACAATGTACGCATAACAAAAATTAGGATTACATAACATTTTGTGATTGAATGCATCATGTACATACTTTGAGGCAACTTACATTACATTACATTGTTATTGTCCTTGTCTAAGAGTCTTAAATGATCTGTTCTGTGCAGGTGGGATTGTCCCCTGATGCCCAGGAACAGATGCGAATGATGCTTTGCCAGAAAGAATCCAACTACATCCGACTAAAACGCGCCAAGATGGAGAAATCCATGTTCAAGAGGATCAAGACCCTTGGCATTGGCGCGTTTGGTAAGGTCTGTTTGGCCCGGAAAGAGGATACAGGTGCACTGTACGCCATGAAGACTCTTCGAAAAAAGGACGTGCTCTTAAGAAACCAGGTGGCCCACGTCAAAGCAGAGAGGGACATCCTGGCCGAGGCTGACAACGAGTGGGTGGTCCGTCTCTACTACTCCTTCCAAGATAAGGACAACCTGTACTTTGTCATGGAGTACATCCCAGGAGGCGACATGATGAGTTTGCTGATCCGACTGGGCATCTTCAAAGAGGAGCTTGCCCAGTTTTACATCGCAGAGCTCACCTGTGCCGTCGAGAGCGTCCACAAAATGGGTTTTATTCACAGAGACATTAAACCAGATAATATCCTGATAGACCGGGACGGGCACATCAAACTCACAGACTTCGGACTCTGCACTGGTTTCCGTTGGACGCACGACTCCAAGTACTATCAGAGTGGTTAGTATGGAACATTGAATCATTTAAAGGTGGACTATATAACTGGTGAATGATTGTGTCTGTAGAGATGTTATAGCTAAAGAAGGTAATAAACTAATTGTATTTTAGTATTTTCTTTATTGGTATCTCTATCTAAGACTATCTACCTTTATGGTCTGCCATAAGATATTGGTAGAGATAACTGGTTTTGTATTATATACATCTCAAATATATGGTATCAGATGTTTTATCCACACAACAAATTACCTTCCTATTGTAAATAAACTGTTGTTTTCCAGGTGACCATGTGAGGCAGGACAGTATGGATTTCAGTAAAGAGTGGGAGGACCCCTCAAACTGTCGCTGCACTGACAGGTTAAAACCCCTGGAGCGGAGGAAGGCCCGGCAGCACCAGAGGTGTCTGGCTCATTCGTTAGTGGGGACACCCAACTACATTGCTCCTGAAGTTTTGCTAAGGACAGGTATGTAATAAATACAAATAAATACACTGGCCTCTTTAATGTTATTAAATACCACAATGATGTTCCCATTGTTTCTTGACTTAAAACTAAATTTGATGAAATTATGAGTTGGTTTAAAATGGTTGAAAATGTTGGATAAGTCAAAGTCAAAAGACAAATAAGTTTAATAGAATTTCTATCTGTCACTTATTGTGAATAATGAATTAAAAGGGCACTATGTAACCTTTCTAATGGTGCTTGTTTCCATCTAGATGTTATTGCTTTGCCAAAAATTTGATGGCCACATACACAACAAACAGGGGATGCTAAGGTCACATGTAATGCAATATTTTTCACAACAAAATGTGTGTTAATAAATGCAATATAGATTAAGGTAAATGCTGTGTGAAACATACCATGCACTAAAAGTCAATGACATCTTCATCTCAGTAAAGCATAACATGTTTAAATGGATTGGTACAAACAAGAAAACCTACTCATTTGTCATTTTTGTGAACTCCTTTTTTGCAGGATACACTCAGCTGTGCGATTGGTGGAGCGTCGGTGTCATCTTGTATGAGATGGTTGTTGGGCAGCCTCCATTCTTGGCTACCACACCCATGGAAACACAGCTCAAGGTATGTCAAGCATCTGGCTCTCAAATCAGCCTCACATCGCCTGTTTAATGATGTTTTTGAATGTTTCCGTCTCGCTTCTAAACCAGGTGATCAACTGGAAGAGCACGCTGCACATTCCGCCGGCTGCCAAACTCAGTCCTGAAGCATCAGACCTCATCATCAAACTGTGCCGCGGACACGAGGACCGACTTGGGAAGAACGGAACAGACGAAATTAAAGACCACCCGTTTTTTAGAAGTATTGACTTTTCCAGCGACCTCCGGCAACAGGCGGCACCTTATGTCCCGACAATTGCCCATTCCACTGACACATCTAATTTTGACCCAGTAGACCCAGACAAACTGTGGAGCAATGACAGTGATGACGAGGACAACCATAACGACACTCTGAATGTCTGGTTCAGAAATGGAAAACACCCCGAACACGCGTTCTATGAATTTACTTTTAGAAGATTTTTTGACGATAATGGCCACCCCTACAGCTGCCCCAAACCAATCCAGTATGAGGAGGATGAGGCAGAGGCAGAAGGGGGCACTCAGGAGGTGATCACTGAATTGGCAGCTCAGGGGCGGGACTTGGTCTATGTCTAGTCTTGGAGTTTAATGTACACAACCTATTTTAAAAACTTTTGAGGGGTACGTATTGATGTAGGAATAAAGGCAGCACTCAAAGGAAAGATCGCTGGGTAACTTAACATTTTTTTAAACTCCTAATGATCAAAGTAGTGTTAGCGGATGGTATGTTTTGCATTTTGTACCTGCCCTTTGCCCTAAAGAATGTCCCCTGTGACTGGTTTGAAGTAGTTGTTTACATTGTAAATTGAATTAGATTCCCTTCACATCACTCATCATATACTCATGTGCTTTGTAAATTTTTGTGCATGCATATGCTGTTAGAGCCTTAATTTATTTATTGTACATTTTTACAAAATCGTAGTGCTGTCGGGGGTCTTTGTTGTAAACATTTTTGAATAATTGCCTTAATTTATATTTTGTATGTTTTTAATTGGGATTTGATTATGTGGACATGTAGATTTTAAGAAACACTTCTCATGATTGCGGTGTATTTTTGATTCATCTTCCACCAAATATAAAAGGGTAATAATCAGACTGGCATTGTAATAGTTATAGATGATTAAGATAGTGTATTTTTTCCTTTTATTTATACCTAAATGTATTTATAAATTATGCTGTAAAGAGTTGCTGTAAATATTTCAGGCTTGTATTTTTTGTAGGGTAAGCCCTTGTCGGTGTCTATTGCTGCTGCCTTCTGTAATGGAGATGAGACACTAAACTAGAATGGATTATGGAGCCCATCTGCAACTGTTGCCATGTTAATAGGTCACACTTTCTGACTTTTTTTCACTTTTTAGTTTCTGGTTTAGGATTATG